ATCCCGGGTTGGGGACCTAGTAAAATTGCCGGAATCAGTCCCGGAACGTGCGCTGTGTGAACAAAAGCCAGGACCAATGCCGTAAGGGGCGTGTCATAGTGATGACGCTCGTGCCATCGCGCGACTCTGTTGCTCTTAAGCCCCTTTTCCACCAAAGCATTTTGAGAGCCGGTTCGGAGCCGGTGCCTGAACCAGTTCTTTGTGTTTCGACAGCCAAAGAACCGGTTCTCAGCCAGGAGAACTGGTTCCAAAGCTAGAACCGTTCTTTTACCAGGTCATGCTTACGTCGGGGGCTGGGCCGGGTTTAGATGTGTTCTAAACATCTTTTCTGACCATAAGAGGATCGCAAATCAGGAGAAACATTTGCAGAAACACGATGGAGTCCGCCTTTGTAATTGTTATGCTTGAAGTTAACGCAAGCGTTTCTATTTTTGTAATTTTTTTTATTGAAGACATTATAAGCAAAGAAGAAAAGTCACAATATAGAACAAATAAATGGAAAGAAAAAAAGACACAATTACAGGGGTACATAACTTATCAGAAAAGATTACATATCAAACGAATAGATTAAAAGACTTACATATTTCAATTGTTTTTAAAGCTTTCTTGGTATACGAGTTAGAGATAATCCGAAAGTAATGTTGAGCGTTTCTAGCTAAGACGTATGGCGACGTACACAGTGACGTAACGACGTCGTTCCCTGGGCGCTCTAGTCAGTGGAAAAACAAATAGGTTCTGAAGTGGTTCGCAAGTTGAACCAACTCCGAATCAACTCCGAACCAACTTTGAACCAGCACCAGTTCCGAACCTGTTCTTTTTGGGTGGAAAAGGGGTATTAGAAGAAAGTTTGTGTTCGCCATCAACAAAGAAAGGACGAACAAATACCTGCAAACTGGAGCGAAGCAGAGACCAGGAGCTCCTCACTATCCACGCTGAAGCTGAGATCGTTCACCAGCTTTGTGCTACGGTATGCGCGTGTACATGTTTTCGACGCGTACGTTACACGTCTCATCCTGACGTCATGTGTCTTCCCGGGATTTTTACGGGTTGTGTGTGAACGCACTCACAGATCCCGGCAAATCACTGGCAGTGTGAATGAACCGAAATCAAACAATCCCGGGACAAATTCCGGGTCACATTATCCGCGTATTTTCCGGAATCTCTGTGTGAAAGGGGCTTTTCAGACATTTGACCAACCGGGTTGACACTTCAGCGTGAGTAATCGTGGGTGGGGCGTGAGAGCGTGAGATTTGGCTCAACTGTGAGTGAAGCTGATTGCATGAAAGTTGGCAGTCCTGAATTATGTTTCTAAAGCTGAGGTAACGCTAAAGCTGAGCTAAAACAGCTAATGCTGAGGCTAAAGCTGAGCTAAAGTTAAAGCTAAAGCAGCTAAAGCTGAACTAAAGCAGTTAAAAGTAAAGCAGCTAAAGCTAAAGCTGAGCTAAAGTTAAAGCAGCTAAAGCTAAAGCTGAACTAAAGCAGTTAAAGGTAAAGCAGCTAAAGCTAAAGCTGAACTAAAGCAGTTAAAACTAAAGCAGCTAAAACTAAAGCTGAACTAAAGCAGTTAAAACTAAAGCAGCTAAAGCTGAACTAAAGCTAAAGCAGCTAAAGCTGAGCTAAAGCTAAAGCAGCTAAAGCTAAACTAAAGCAGTTAAAGCTAAAGCTGAGCTAAAGCTGAACTAAAGCTAAAGCAGCTAAAGCTGAGCTAAAGTTAAAGCAGCTAAAGCTAAAGCTGAACTAAAGCAGTTAAAGGTAAAGCAGCTAAAGCTAAAGCTGAACTAAAGCAGTTAAAGGTAAAGCAGCTAAAACTAAAGCTGAACTAAAGCAGTTAAAACTAAAGCAGCTAAAGCTGAACTAAAGCTAAAGCAGCTAAAGCTGAAGCAGCTAAAGCTAAACTAAAGCAGTTAAAGCTAAAGCTGAGCTAAAGCTGAACTAAAGCTAAAGCAGCTAAAGCTGAGCAAAAGCTAAAGCAGCTAAAGCTGAACTAAAGCAGTTAAAACTAAAGCAGCTAAAGCTAAAGCTGAACTAAAGCTAAAGCAGCTAAAACTGAGCTAAAGCTAAAGCTGAGCTAAAGTTAAAGCAGCTAAAGCTAAAGCTGAACTAAAGCATTTAAAGGTAAAGCAGCTAAAGCTAAAGCTGAACTAAAGCAGTTAAAACTAAAGCAGCTAAAGCTGAACTAAAGCTAAAGCAGCTAAAGCTGAGCTAAAGCTAAAGCAGCTAAAGCTGAGCTAAAGCTAAAGCAGCTAAAGCTGAACTAAAGCAGTTAAAGCTAAAGCAGCTAAAGCTGAGCTAAAGCTAAAGCAGCTAAAGCTAAAGCTGAACTAGAGCAGTTAAAGCTAAAGCAGCTTAGATGAAGTCGGTTATCGTGGTAATATGCAATATTGCAGCACCAAAGTAGAGTTAACATTAGGCAACTATTTCACAACCCTAGCCTATCTAGGACCTCGGGGGATATGATATGAAGTGAATCTGAGACATAAGGACAGAACCCTGATATTGACGGAAAGCCGCCGTAGACTCTCTGCAATTAACAGAAATCCATCTTAGCGACGTAGAACTTTAATCCCTAAAATGATGCACATCAATTCCACACATGCGCATAAAAACGTATTCACTCGTTTGCGTCGGATACATTTCTTTATCTGATAAGAATAGCATAAACTATGATGGAAACACATTTCCCGAAAACATTCCTCGATGTGCATAAAAAAAAAACGATCTGGTTGCAAAGGATCTTAAGTTAATCCGCTCTTCTTCAAATATGGCTGAGAACATGTCCGAATGGTTTTTCTAAAGCAAACTCCCAATTTTAAAATGTCCATAAATGCGTGTATCTTATTGAAATGTGCATTAATTGAGTATGCAGTGTAGATATACAGGTTTTTCAGGAATGTTTTACATGAACTGGACGTGTTTGACGTTCTTTCATAACAGTTCTTCATTGTAATGCAGACACAGTCTCTTGACGTTTGTGTGAGTGTTTACGCATCACTGCAGAATAGTTTTCCACCATCCAATAAAGCCTCACCTTCAGAAAGAACAGATGAAAGAAAGAGATGCGTGCGTGCACATTTCCAAACTTACCTGTTATGACAAAGTTCTGGTGAAAAACTCTTTTTGTTTCTTTTTCTTTTGTTTATTCCTTTTCTAATTAGTCCGAATGCGAAACGATGTGTTATGTGCAAATATGATGAAAATATGTTGGTATTCATGTTAAAGGGATACTCCATCCAAAAATGATAATTCTGTCATCATTTCCTCACCCTCGAGTTGTTGCAAACCTGTATGAGATTATCTCTTCTGCTGAACACAAAGGAAGATATTTTGAAGATTGGATCTTTGGCAACATTGACTTCTATAGTAGAAAAAAAAAATACTATAGAAGTCAATGTTGCCAAAGATCCAATCTTCAAAATATCTTCCTTTGTGTTCAGCAGAATGGATAAACTCATACAGGTTTGCAACAACTCAAGGGTGAAGAAATGACGACAGAATTAGTTGGTTGTTCGGTTGTTGTTAAAGGGTTTCGAGTTAGTTCACTGAAAAATTAAAACTCTCCCTCGTGTTGTTCAACTCATCTTCGGAAAACAAAGTGATGAAATCTGAGAGCTGTCTCACTCCTTCATAGGCAGTTTCATTCTGCCGGCCCAGAAAAGTTATTAAAGACATCGTTAAAATAGTCCAAGTGACTACAGTGACTCAATCTAAAGTTTGTCAAGCGATGAGAATACTTTTTGTGCGCAAAAAACACAAAAATAACGACTTTATTTCAACTATTCATCTTCTTATGTGTCGGACGTGAGTTCACGAGAGCCGCGACCAGTGGTGGAATAACGAAGTACAGTTACTTTTGTTACTTTACTTAAGTACATTTTTCACGTATAGAATAGAATAAATAGTGCCTACTTTTTACTTTTACTTCGTTAGATTTTGCAGCAATTATTCTACTTTCTACTCCACTACATTTTTACAACTTCTGTTACATTTTCTGATCAGTTTTTCCCCGGCCAAAACGTAATCTGACCGTTCGTCCGTTGCACGTTTGTCTCAACAGTGACGTTTGGTTGCCATAGATACATCAACCTGATCACACTAAATGCGTCTCGCACGCAGTGTGTTTATCGTGCAATTTTTACGCGAAAATTTGTTTAATGGCGAAAATTTGTAAAAACACCATAAATTAATCGCGTTTACTGCCAAACATAGTTATTAACATATAGTAAGGATAAGCATGATGTGTAGCTATATTGCCTAATTGCAAGCTTGTTTCAGAAATGGTGACAATTTTTTTTCCATCGTTATTGAACACCATTATAGGAGTATTTGGTTGAATTAGTTGGAATTAAATGTTTTATTAATCATTGGAAAATAGAAATTAAGAAAATAAATTGTTATGCAAGTACTTTTACTTTTAATACTTAAAGTACATTTAAAATCAGGTACTTTTTACGTAAGTATGGTTGTCATTGTGTTACTTCTACTTTTACTAAAGTAAATATTTATCTGGATATTTGTACTTTTACTTAAGTACTGAGATTCAGTACTTCCTCCACCACTGGCCACGACACACACACACACACACACACACACACAGTGGGCTTCTGAGTGTAGTCACTTGGACTATTTTAACGATGTCTTCACTAACGTTTCTGGACCGGCAGAATGAAATTGCCTATCAGCCTACACTCTAAAAAATGCTGGGTTGTTTCAACCCAAATTTGGGTTAAATATGGACAAGGGTTAAAAGTGCATTTAAAAAATATAATGTTATAAAGTGAAAGTTGAAGTTGGGTTAAAATTTGAAATTACATTTTTTTTTTTTAACCCAACATTTGGGTTAAAACAACCCAGCATAGTTTAGAGTGTATGGAGAAGTGATCCTCAGATTTCATCATAAACATCTCACTTCGTGTCCTGAAGATTAACGAAAGTCATACCGGGTTGAAAAACATGACGGAGATCAATTACTGACACAACTTTAATTTTTTGGGTGAACTAACCTTAAAGTTGGTTGGCTGGCTGGTGAATGATATTCCAAGTTGATACAAGAAAATCTTGAGGAAATCAAACGCCGTCTTCATTCTTCATAAAGCTTCTCATTCAAAACATGAAAAGAAGAAATGTAACCGGTTGTTAATAAAGAGAAACACTTTAACACACAATACACCCGGCTATTACCATGATGAACAAATAAAGGATAGTTTAATGAAACTTGTGAGTAACATAAATCCCAGCTAAGTGTCTTTAACTTCTGGAAGAACTGGTACAGTTGGTTAAACCATATTGATCACACGATTATAGTGTTATCTCTAGGAAATGTAACACCCTCATAGTATTGTTAAAAAAAGTGACATTTAATCTTAAAAATGTTTTCTGATGCGTATTTATTGCGTCAGTGAAAGACATGATGCTGAAAAGAGAAAGAAAAAGGTTTAAAACAATTCAAATTCAGCAATATTATCGATGTGACTGCACTGAACAACTTTTGAATTAAAATTATCTGAAACGTCTTTTGCTTTACGAATTCGTTTCAGAACCGTTGCAACATTGACACTGTTGTTTTCCCGTTTATTACAGTGAAGCTGCTTTAAAACAATTTGACTTGACCCGTTTTGTCCAGTCAATGAGTTATTCATCTGGTATAATGATTCATTTGGAAGACATTCAGCAAATATGCACTTAAATTATATATGATATCATGTAATTTACCCAATTACAGTAAGATAATGGTGCATCTGCTCCTCTAGTGGCCACAGAAAGAACATCATGGGTTTCTGTGGAAAGAATGAAGTCATCTGTGATTGGTCCGTCCTGACCAGCGTTGAGAAAATGAACCAGTATCACGTGACTTTGCTGTCGTGTGTTATTTTAACAACCACTGAACTGAACATACACAGACCCATCATACCTGAGCAGTTACAGGTTTAAATTGAGAAATAATAGAGAATAATAAATAAGAGATTGAAAAAATGTCTCCGTATATAAATGGCACTATGTTGTTCATTGCATAGGATAGAAAATAGTTTCTTTTTCATTTGTTGTAACCATAAGTCTCTGCATAACCATTGCACTTAGTAAATCGCATTAAACTAAACTACTGCCTAATGACCTTTGGCAAACAGCAGAAATATTTCAACTTATAATATAAATAAGTATACATATGTTTGTGCGTATTCTTGCTCAGGATCTTCATCTCTACTTTTTCATCTAGCTGAAGTCTTTTGTCATTTCTGATCCTCTTCATCCTCCCCATCACCCTCCTCTTCCTCCTCCTCCATCTCAACCCCATCCAGGGTTTTCTGCAGCTGCTGTTGGATTCTCTTCAGCTCCTGAAGTCCATCCCGAAGCTCTCTGCAAACCTCTCGGATCTTGGCGGCGAACTCCGTCTTGGCTCCCTTGCGCAGCTCGAGCGAGCCCTTGGCGAGGAAGAAGACGTCGAGCGCGAGGAAGAGTCCGGACATGACGCCGGTGGTGACGCTGAGCACTTGCGCGGCTTTGGCTGCTCCTCCCGCTACGCTGAGCACCTGGACGGTGTTGATGAGGTTCTCCGTGTTGACCAGAAGAGCTTTCCCGGCCCGGCCGCCCTCCTTCAACACGTGCTTCACGTTCTGGTTAAGAGCCTTTCTGGAGATGCTGTCCACGTACTGCTCGAAGTTCCACTCCTCCAGAGTCAACATCCCGGCCTGGGGACGACAGATGCTTATCAGAAGGATGAAGAGTGAGACATGACATTCTTCTTTCAGACAAATACAATCAGAGTTATATTAAAACAAGCTTTATAATGGAAGTGAATGGTTGTTTCTGTTTTGAAGTCCATCAAAGAGGATCTATCCAATGATTAAAGTGTATCTATCCATGATAAAAGTGCATCTATCCATCATAAAAGTGCATCCATCATCATAAAAGTGCATCTATCCATCATAAAAGTGCATCTGTCCATCATAAAAGTGCATCTGTCCATCATAAAAGTGCATCTGTCCATCATAAAAGTGCATCTATCCATCATAAAAGTGCATCTATCCATCATAAAAGTGCATCTATCCATCATAAAAGTGCATCTGTCCATCATAAAAGTGCATCTATCCATCATAAAAGTGCATCTATCCATCATAAAAGTGCATCTGTCCATCATAAAAGTGCATCTGTCCATCATAAAAGTGCATCTGTCCATCATAAAAGTGCATCTGTCCATCATAAAAGTGCATCTGTCCATCATAATAGTGCATCTGTCCATCATAAAAGTGCATCTATCCATCATAAAAGTGCATCTGTCCATCATAAAAGTGCATCTATCCATCATAAAAGTGCATCTGTCCATCATAAAAGTGCATCTGTCCATCATCAAAAAGTGCATCTATCCATCATAAAAGTGCATCTGTCCATCATAAAAGTGCATCTGTCCATCATAAAAGTGCATCTGTCCATCATAAAAGTGCATCTATCCATCATAAAAGTGCATCTGTCCATCATAAAAGTGCATCTATCCATCATAAAAGTGCATCTGTCCATCATAAAAGTGCATCTATCCATCATAAAAGTGCATCTGTCCATCATAAAAGTGCATCTGTCCATCATAAAAGTGCATCTATCCAACATAAAAGTGCATCTGTCCATCATAAAAGTGCATCTATCCATCATAAAAGTGCATCTGTCCATCATAAAAGTGCATCTATCCATCATAAAAGTGCATCTGTCCGTCATAAAAGTGCATCTATCCATCATAAAAGTGCATCTGTCCATCATAAAAGTGCATCTGTCCATCATAAAAGTGCATCTGTCCATCATAAAAGTGCATCTGTCCATCATAAAAGTGCATCTGTCCATCATAAAAGTGCATCTGTCCATCATAAAAGTGCATCTGTCCATCATAAAAGTGCATCTATCCATCATAAAAGTGCATCTGTCCATCATAAAAGTGCATCTGTCCATCATAAAAGTGCATCTGTCCATCATAAAAGTGCATCTGTCCATCATAAAAGTGCATCAGTCCATCATAAAAGTGCATCTGTCCATCATAAAAGTGCATCTATCCAACATAAAAGTGCATCAGTCCATCATAAAAGTGCATCTGTCCATCATAAAAGTGCATCTGTCCATCATAAAAGTGCATCTGTCCATCATAAAAGTGCATCTGTCCATCATAAAAGTGCATCTATCCATCATAAAAGTGCATCTGTCCATCATAAAAGTGCATCTATCCATCATAAAAGTGCATCTGTCCATCATAAAAGTGCATCTAGCAACTAGCTAATATTTTAAATCTAAACAGAAAGTATCAACACTTCCTCTAAATGCTTTAACAGTGCGTGGTTTATGATGTATATATGGTAAGACAGCGGTGCGGTCATGGCGGTGTCTGACCTGCAGGAAGTCCAGGCAGTCTTTAATGTCCTGGATTTGGAGCTGGTAGTCTTGGATCATCTTCTCCACCTTCTTGCGGTCGGTGTTGGAGTGAAGCGTGTCTGTGATGTTGGCGGAGGCCGAGGTCACGCCGCCAGCCGTCGCCACACCGATGCCCACCGCCGTCACGATGAGGGACGTCCCGAAGGTGAAGGGCGCCAGGACCAGGCCGGTGATGGTGGTGATGCTGCCTGCTACGCTAGCCACCCCTCCGCCAACGCTAGCGGTCACCGTCTTCTTGTGGAAAGAGTCGGCCGCGTCCGCTAACGCCAGGAGCTCCAGTATCCGCTGATTCAGAAACGCCTCCCGCTGGTTTAGCAGGTGAACGAATAACTTGGCGGCCATGAAGACCCGGTTAGCAACCGCTTCGATCGCTCTGGTGGACAGAGATGTATTTATTTACTGTAACTGACTTACTCTGAGATATCTTCTTATGGACAAATGTCTCTAACGACTATGAGTCTATCAAGTATAAGGTTTAGCACTACACCAGATCAGTCTAAAGTGTGGAAACACTGCTACTTTTGCACTTTTGACATTGAGTATTCTATTTTTGTTTTGTTTCATTTAATGAAAAACTTCTAGTAGTTTTAGTTTCATATAACAATAATAACCCTGGTTTAAGTAAAGTCAAGTATACTTATATAGCGCATTTCACAATATAGATTGCATCAAAGCAGCTTCACAGTATCAATCAAAATATAATAACAATGTTCGCATCTTAGTGGAAAACATCCACGTTTGGTAGAGCTGATCAAGGGTATTACTGATTGGTTAATTAATTTGAATATCCCCAACTGAGCAAACCAAAGGCAACAGCGGCAAGGAACCGAAAAACTCCATCAAGTGACCTAATGGCGTCGTAAAACTCCATCAAGTGACCTAATGTTGTCCTAAAACTCCATCAAGTGACCGAACAGTGTCCTAAAACTCCATCAGGTGAACCAATGATGTCCTAAAACTCCATCAAGTGACCCAACGGTGTCCTAAAACTCCATCAGGTGACCCAATGATGTCCTAAAACTCCATCAGGTGACCCAATGGTGTCCTAAACTTCATCAAGTGACCCAATGGTGTCCTAAACTCCAACAGGTGACCCAATGGTGTCCTAAACTTCATCAAGTGACCCAATGGTGTCCTAAAACTCCATCAAGTGACCTAATGGTGTCCTAAACTCCAACAGGTGACCCAATGGTGTCCTAAAACTCCATCAAGTGACCCAATGGTGTCCTAAACTTCATCAAGTGACCCTATGGTGTCCTAAACTCCAACAGGTGACCCAATGGTGTCATAAAACTTCATCAAGTTACCCAATGGTGTCCTAAACTTCATCAAGTGACCCAATGGTGTCCTAAACTTCATCAAGTGACCCAATGGTGTCCTAAAACTCCATCAAGTGACCCAATGGTGTCATAAACTTCATCAAGTGACCCAATGGTGTCCTAAACTCCAACAGGTGACCCAATGGTGTCATAAAACTCCATCAGGTGACCCAATGGTGTCCTAAACTTCATCAAGTGACCCAATGGTGTCCTAAAACTCCATCAAGTGACCCAATGGTGTCCTAAAACTCCATCAAGTGACCCAATGGTGTCCTAAACTTCATCAAGTGACCCAATGGTGTCCTAAACTCAAACAGGTGACCCAATGGTGTCCTAAAACTCCATCAAGTGACCCAATGGTTTCATAAACTTCATCAAGTGACCCAATGGTGTCCTAAACTCCATCAGGTGACCCAATGGTGTCCTAAAACTCCATCAAGTGACCCAATGGTGTCCTAAAACTCCATCAAGTGACCCAATGGTGTCCTAAACTCCAACAGGTGACCCAATGGTGTCATAAAACTCCATCACGTGACCCAATGGTGTCATAAACTCCAACAGGTGACCCAATGGTGTCCTAAAACTCCATCAAGTGACCCAATGGTGTCCTAAACTTCATCAATTGACCCAATGGTGTTCTAAACTCCATCAGGTGACCAAATGGTGTCCTAAAACTCCATCAAGTGACCCAATGGTGTCCTAAACTTCATCAAGTGACCCAATGGTGTCCTAAACTCCAACAGGTGACCCAATGGTGTCCTAAAACTCCATCAGGTGACCCAATGGTGTCCTAAAACTCCATCAAGTGACCCAATGGTGTCCTAAACTTCATAAAGTGACCCAATGGTGTCCTAAACTCAATCAGGTGACCCAATGGTGTCCTAAATTCCAACAGGTGACCCAATGGTGTCCTAAACTCCATCAAGTGACTCAATGGTGTCCTCAAACTCCATCAAATGACCCAATGATGTCCTAAAACTCCATCAAGTGACCCAATGGTGTCCTAAACTCCAACAGGTGACCCAATGGTGTCCTAAAACTCCATCAAGTGACCCAATGGTGTCCTAAACTCCAACAGGTGACCCAATGGTGTCCTAAAACTCCATCAAGTGACCCAATGGTGTCCTACAACTTCATCAAGTGACCCAATGGTGTCCTAAACTCCAACAGGTGACCTAATAGTGTCCTAAGACTCCATCAAGTGACCTAATTTAAATATAATCACAGTAACACTTAAAGGAGGGTCATTGTTTTTTTCTTAAAAAATGTGATATAATTATAAATCTTTCTCACCGTTCTCCATCTTCATCATTAAACTGTTTCGACTCGTTCCATTCGCTCCAACCTGACGAATAAAACACAATCAAATACAAGTCAAAGGTTTTTTAAAAAAACGCCAGGAGTTAAAGAAAATACCTTCTACTGTTCTCCACCAATCCAGCAAACCATCTTCATCCTGTCAATGGAAGACAAACTCAGTGACACGCAGAAACACTAGCAATCGAAGACTAAACGTCAGTTTACACATACGTCTTCATCGTCCAGAGGATTCCCGTCACTGGAGCCTACAGCAGTCTGAACTTCAGCAGAGCAGATCTGGAGATCACACACACACACACACACACACACACACTGATGATCCCAGATCGTCTAACAAAACACAGATGCATTAACTTTTCAACAGCAACGCAAGGCTGCAAACCTTCTGCAAAAGAACACGGAAAGTTTACAACAAAACAATAACAGGCCACTGAAGCTCCAGCTCAAACTAACTAATAAACTAACTAATCAACTAACTAACCAACTAAGTAAGCAACTAACTATCAACTAACCAACTAACTAAGCAACTAACAAATCAATAAACTAACTAATCAACTTACTAATTGAGTAATCAACTAAGTAACCAACTAACTAATCAGCTAACTGTCAACTAAGTAACCAACTAACTAACCAACTAACAAATCAATAAACTAACTAACTAATCAACTTACTAATTGAGTAATCAACTAAGTAACTAACTAATCAACTAAGTAACCAACTAACTAAGCAACTAACAAATCAATAAACTAACTAATCAACTTACTAATTGAGTAATCAACTAAGTAACTAACTAATCAACTAACTGTCAACTAAGTAACCAACTAACTAAGCAACTAACAAATCAATAAACTAACTAATCAACTCACTAATTGAGTAATCAACTAAGTAACCAACTAACTAAGCAACTAACTGTCAACTAAGTAACCAACTAACTAACTAACTAACAAATCAATAAACTAACTAACTAATCAACTTACTAATTGAGTAATCAACTAAGTAACTAACTAATCAACTAAGTAACCAACTAACTAAGCAACTAACAAATCAATAAACTAACTAATCAACTTACTAATTGAGTAATCAACTAAGTAACTAACTAATCAACTAACTGTCAACTAAGTAACCAACTAACTAAGCAACTAACAAATCAATAAACTAACTAATCAACTCACTAATTGAGTAATCAACTAAGTAACCAACTAACTAAGCAACTAACTGTCAACTAAGTAACCAACTAACTAACTAACCAACTAACAAATAAAAAACAAAGAACTAATCAACTTACTAATTGAGTAATCAACTAAGTAACCAACTAACTAAGCAACTAACTGTCAACTAAGTAACCAACTAACTAACCAACTAACAAATAAAAAACAAAGAACTAATCAACTTACTAACTGAGTAATCAACTAAGTAACCAACTAACTAATCAGCTAACTGTCAACTAAGTAACCAACTAACTAACCAACTAACAAATCAATAAACTAACTAACTAATCAACTTACTAATTGAGTAATCAACTAAGTAACCAACTAACTAATCAGCTAACTGTCAACTAAGTAACCAACTAACTAACCAACTAACAAATCAATAAACTAACTAACTAATCAACTTACTAATTGAGTAATCAACTAAGTAACCAACTAACTTAGCAACTAACAAATCAATAAACTAACTATTCAACTTACTAATTGAGTAATCAACTAAGTAACTAACTAATCAACTAACTGTCAACTAAAAGTAACCAACTAACTAAGCAACTAACAAATCAATAAACTAACTAATCAACTTACTAATTGAGTAATCAACTAAGTAACCAACTAACTAAGCAACTAACTGTCAACTAAGTAACCAACTAACAAATAAAAAACAAAGAACTAATCAACTTACTAATTGAGTAATCAACTAAGTAACCAACTAACTAACAAACTAAGCATCTAAGTATCCAAATAACTAACTAATCAACTAAGTAACTAAACAATCAACTAAGTAACTAGTTAACTAATGGACAGATGAATGAACTAATAAACAACTAACTAACTAAAATGTATCTATATAGAGTAGTGTCAAACACAATTTACTAATTCAATATTTAAAACTGATTAAATATTGAAGCACACATTTGCTGCTATATATTATTTTGAGGCATTTATACACTATTATAAATGTATATTTTTTTAATTAATAACTTTTTCTTTTTACATTTTCCATTTTAGTTAAATGTTCAGTTAATTTTTGTAATTTCTATATTTTTTAAATAATAGTTTAAAAATGTCTACGCAGTTTTTGTTTTATTTTTAATACAATCATATTTCCAAAAGATTAAATATTAATAATTGACATTACAATTGCGGTAATGATGCATTTGCATGCATCAATGAAGACATATTCAAAGATATCTCAAAGACAGGAACATCATGTTTCACCTGTGTGTCCACACACACTGCGTCTGCCTCTCCTCCATCACACACCTGTGTGTCCACACACACTCCGTCTGCTTCTCCTCCATCACACTTCTGCAAAGAATAAGCACAATAACTTCGTATTGAGGGATGGTGGAAAAAACTGTGCAAGATATCATCACTGTAAAGCCAGACTTATGAAATAATCATCTGAAAATCTTTTTTTTTTTTTTTAATAGAACCATTTATTGAAGGATTAAACAAAAGCCAGACATATGAAATAATAGTATGGAAGAAAATAATGATGTTCATATTTGATACATCAGTCATGAATGGCTCATATAATGAGAATATGGAGGAAACAACGGCTTGATTTTATTCAGATGCTCATATTAATATGAAATGTTGATGCTTCTAAATCAGCTGATTGGGATCAAGCTTAGAGAGCTTGTCATCTTCAAGGACTATTAAAATGAGCCAATGGCGTGCGTGAAATGCATCACACACTTCCGCTTCAGAGCCGAGCGTTTGATGTCTCTGTTGTAGTCCTGTTGTTTACGACCGGCTCTCTAAGCTTGATCCCAATCACGTGTCCGTCAGGGAACGAGGGTCACATACGTAACCGAGGCGATCTTTATAACAGATAGATCTCAAATAAAATGCATATCAATATCTTCTTTTAAAATGACATATAAATGCTTAGTTTTATGATTAAAGTTTGTTGGTTTTTAAACATATAATGCAAAGCAATGGTGATTGACATAAACCTTCTTTAAAAGCCTGATGATCATATTTAATACTCATGATTTATTATAATAAATGTTGTCTGGATAATCAAGTAAACCCGCTTCAGTCCAGCTGAAATATCACTAACAATATCAAAGTTATTATTGCAATTGCTTGATAAAATCAGAGCAGATTTGACACAGAAAGACTCGCGCCGAAGGAGGATTGCATGTGATCATGTTCATAATTTACAGGCCTTAGAAATTCATATATCAAATATATAATTTGTATAGTATTGTATTATTTTAGTATTTTATTCATTTTAAAAATACTATTGTTGACTTCTTGGTCAAATACAAGTTTTGTAAATAATATTAAATAATAAAAAAAGCCACAGATAAATCATCACACACATCAAGCTATACACAAAGAACAAAGTTTAAATAAATGTTAAACAAATAAATGTTTTTGTAACTTTTAGTTTTAATTCGTTTTTTTAAAGTCTATATTGCTTTTACTTTTTATTTCAGTTTTATCGTTAGCACAAACAAAGCAAAGAGAAATGAAATTCAGGAAATTAAGTGTTATTCACTTCTTCACTTCGGATCAGTCCGTCACACACACACACTTCTGTCTCAAAAGCTGACGGCGAGGTGTAACGCTAGTAAACACTCGTAACACTTCTAATATTCAAAGCAATCATCCGGATCATGAAGTCTCGTACCTGAGCGCTGGATTCCAGACGCATCCCAGCGGGATCCTGAAACACACACACAGAACACACTGAACGACACACTCCTGCTGCTGACGGCTCAACACACTGAAACATGACGCAGTTTACCAGAGTTTTACCGCAGTTTACCACGTCTGCTGTGTGTGTGTGTGTGTGTGTGTGTGAGCCTCATTGGTCTTATTCTACAGAACCGACAGAGAGATGCTGAAACAGACAAACAGTTACTGCTGATCGCACAAACATCACACAGTGCTGAGACCTAATGTGTGTGTGTGAGTGAGAGAGAGAGAGATGTACAGTGGTGTGAATAAGTTTTGGCCCCCATGCTAAAGTTGCCTAAAAAGAGGAATAAAAAATCATCTTTTGGATATTGATTTTAATGCCTTAATTATAAAAATGAGGAAAACTCCAACCTTTAAGGACACCAATTTTCTTTGTGAATGAATAATGTGAATGAAATGGTGACATACTGACTGAAATGGTGGAAATACTGACTTAATAATTAATTGTCATAAATCTGACAAAAAGTTGAAATTATGACGAGAAATAAATGTAAGTTATGACATCAGTCATAATTTTGACTTTTTTATTTTAAATTTACCGCATAATATTTGTGTCAGTTTAAATTTCTGTCCTATTGCCCTAAAACTCGAAATTATAAGTTATTTATAACTTATTTAAATTATAAATTAAACAGTATGTCATAATGTTGTCTTAATTAGGAAATAAATAGTCATAATCAAGACGTCATAAAGTATGACGTAAAAGTCATGACAAAAGTCAAGTTTTGTGAAAAAAAATAACATTAAAAAGTAGAAATTACGACTTAATTCATAATTTATTGTCATAATTCTGAAAGAAAAGTGAGAATAATGACAAAGTCATAATTTTGACTTTTTCGTTTCAATATTACCTCATATCTTTATCTTTACATTTCATAATGAAGAGATTCAAAATCAACATTTTGACACGTCAAAATCGTTAGGTAAATTAAACAACTGAAATTATGAAAAGTCAAAATTATGACAAAGTTGGAATTGTGACAGTCATGATTTTGACAAAATATTGGAATGGGTCATGAGTGTAAGTTAACAGGAATCAAAACGTTTGAAAATGAACCATAAGATATGCAGATATGCAGTGTGAAACTGGCGTCACTAGTTGCGCTAACTCTATTCAGAAAGGAAAGAGGAAAAAAAGGAATGAAAAATCATCTTTTGGATATTGATCTTAATGCCTTAATTAGAAAAATGAGGAAAACTCCAACCTTTAAGGACACCAATTTTCTTTGTGAATGAATAATGTGTCATAAATAAATAAATGTTTTTCCTTAAAATAAAGGGTGCATAAGTCATTGCCCCCCTATGTTAAATTCCCATAGAGTCAGGCAGATTTTTATTTTTAAAAGCCAGTTATTGCATGGATCCAGGATAATATGCATCCTGATAAAGTTCCCTTGGCCTTTGGGATTAAAATATCCCCACATTATCACACACCTTCCACCACACCTAGAGATTGGCATGGGGTACTTTCCATAAGATCATCTTTCAATGCAAATCAAACCAGCTATTAGGCTAACTGAAGTAAAACCATGCCAATCTCTAGGTGTGGTGGAAGGTGTGTGATAATGTGGGGATATTTTAATCCCAAAGGCCAAGGGAACTTTATCAGGATGCATATTATCCTGGATCCATGAAATAACTGGCTTTTAAAAATAAAAATCTGCCTGACTCTATGGGAATTTAACAATGACTTATGCACCCTGTATTTTAAGGGAAAACATTTATTTATTTATGATACATTATTCATTCACAAAGAAAATTGGTGTCCTTAAAGGTTGGAGTTTTCCTCATTTTTATAATTAAGGCATTAAAATCAATATCCAAAAGATGATTTTTTATTCCTCTTTTTAGGCAACTTTAGCATGGGGGCCAACACTTATTCACACCACTGTATGTACTCCTACCCCTTTATACCATATTTGTTTAAACATAGTATAGGAGTACATAGGTTTTACTTCTTCCTACTCCTGTTTGCACATGTAAATAGAAGGTTGTTGTTGTTTGTCTTAGTTTTTTGTTTTGTTTTTCTTGAAGTACTGAAAAGTATGGATTTTTACTTTGTTTTTTATCAAAATTCCTCGTTTCATTGATTAACATTTGTATTTTTTATTTACATGTTCAAAATAAAGATCTCAAATCAAATCAGAGTGAGAGTGTGTGTGTGATTGAGTGCGTGAGTGAGTGTGTGTGTGAGTAAGTGAGTGAGAGAGAGAGAGAGAGAGAGTGTGTGAGTGAATAAGTGAGTGTGTGTGTGTGTGTACCTGTGAGAAAAACCTGAATGGGTTTAGTTTTTGAATCATTCCCATGATCATTCCAGGATCCTGAGAATAAAAAAACAAAAAGTAAACAACCAACAGGTTAATCACATTACTAGGGTTATTATAGCTAATCGGTGACAAAAACAAAAATAAACTACTAATAAAAATAACATAAAACTTTAAAAGAAAGATAAAAATGACAAAAACTGTGTATCCTGACCGGTTTGTGTTCAGTCGCTGCCTCTTCTGTGCAGGAGGAGGAACTGCAGCGTTCAGGCGTTTCCTGCAGAGAGAGAGAGAGAGAGAGAGAGAGAGAGAGAGAGAGAGAGAGATATGAAGCCTAGAGAACAGCAGATGTCACTCTCCTTCATGTAAGGATGACAGTAAGAGCTTCACCTGTTCTCCGGCGTTACTCACTGGAGCTTTGCTCACCTGAGGACAGACACAACCATAGTGCGTTATTCATTAGGTTATTAGTTCATTATAATTAGTTTATTCATTTGGTTTATTACTTTACAATGAATGTACAAAAATCTGCTTTAATCGGTCAAGGCCAGAAACAGAACGTTCTCAGAGTTTGAGGAATAATAAATAAATTGTTTTAAAATAATTGAACATTATATATGTCAGCACAATAATATAGTAAGTAGAAAAAACATAATAATTTAACTAGGGCTGTGAAAAAATTAATTGCGATTAGTCGCATCCAAAATAAAAGTCTGTGTTTACATAATATATTTGTGTGTGCTGTATATAATTATTTTATATCCATGCATGTATATATTTAAGAATAATTTGCGCTTAAATTCTGTATATATATATAGATACATAATCGATATTATATAAATATATATATTTTATATGAATAACATATTTTCTTAAATATATACATGCATATGTGTGTATTTATACAAAATAATTACACACAGCGCACACAAATATATTATGCAAACACAGACTTTTATTTTGGATGTGATTAATCGCAATTAATTTTTACACAGCCCTAAATTTAACTATAAAAACTAAGATTTTCCAAATTTCTACGTGAAAAAAAGACCTTTGTTTATTTATTTGGCACATAAGAATTTTTTTTTTAAATCATAAATATTCAAAATTACGACATAATAAATAGTAGAAATTTTGACCTGAGATGAAAAGTTGAAATTGACAAAAATTATGACACACTAAGTCAAAATGATGACAAATTAGGCATAAAAATCCTTTCGATTTAGTGTGTCTAAAGATCATATTCATGGGATCGGACAGATTGAAAGCATGATTTATCTGAAGACATTAACAGAGAGTTTGAACGTGTGTTACCTGAGGAGAAGATTTAAAGGGATTTAGTTTCTGCATCACCAGTCCTTCCTGCCACACACACACACACACACGCACTTGTGTTAGTCTGAATGGGAGTGTGTAGGTAGGCCTACTTCTGCTAACAATTGACCGTAAGTCTTTTTAAAGCTTTGTAAATAGAGAGTAAACACTTCTACGTAACAACTCTATATACACACACACCTGAACTCTTCACATTCAGTCGGATGTAAACACTCAACGCCAGTGAGTCACAACTGACGCGACGCAACTGACGCGATGAGAACTATTTTTATCTGAACACAACACACACACACCTCTGACTGACGCCTGAGACTCGGATTGTGTTATTATAGCGGCTTTCAGACTTGGGTGGACAATTCAACATTGTGTAAAAATGAATACAGGTAATAAATCATCAAATTAGGCCTACTATTGTTCTGTTGTGTTGACATAATTAAACATAATCAGTAAATATTTCTAAGTGTCGATCTTTCTGGAGAAGAAGTAGGCTACTTCTCGAATGATATTTACAGTAAACATCGCTATAAAATCCCTCGGGTATCAAAATGTATTTTCCCTCACACAGAATAAATGTAGGCCTATCTTTACATGAACATATTTACATACATTTCTACCACATCAGAAAAAAAAATGCGCTTCTGTAAATCGTAATTATGACAAAAATAAAATACTAAGCCATAATTAGGTCCTTAATCCACAAGTTTTTTATGAGAAGTCTAAATCATGAAGTAAACTTTAAATTAATCTCACAATTACTTTTTATGAAGTCAAAATTATGACAATGTTGAAATGGTGACATACTGACTTAATAATTAATTGTCATAAATCTGACAAAAAGTTGAAATCATGACATGAAATAAATGTAAGTTATGACATCAGTCATAATTTTGACTTTTTTATTTTAACTTTACCGCATAATTTTTGTGTCAGTTTAAATTTCTGTCCTATTCCCCTAAAACTCGAAACTATAACTTATTTTTAAATTATTTAAATTATAAATTGAACAGTATGTCATAATGTTGTCTTAATTAGGAAATAAATAGTCATAATCAAGCCTTCATAATAGATTAAAATAAAGTATGACATAAAAGTCAAGTTTTGTGACAGTAAATTGAAAAAAAAATGACATTAAAAAGTAGAAATTACGACTTAATTCATAGTTTATTGTCATAATTCTGACAAAAAAGTGTGAATAATGACATAGTCATAATTTTGACTTTTTAGTTTCAATATTACCTCATATCTTTTGCTTTTTATTTCATAATTAGGTCATGCATCGAAACGTTTGAAAATAAGATAGCCTAGTAAAAAGACATCAAACAAGTAAAGCCACTAAAACACAATCAACATAGATGCAGTAAGAAACTGGCGTCACTAGTTGTGCTAACTCTATTCAGAAAGTAAAGGAATGTGTGTGTGTGTGTGTTTTGGAAGTTGACGCGCCTTACAAACGCCTTTGATTCGTTGAACCCTGAGGGCGTGGTTACTGACGAGTCCTGGGGGCAAGGCTTGGCTCATGAATATTAATGAGCTTATGAGAGTCTGTCTGATTGGGTAACCGGTGAAGAAACTTTCGCTTCAGGCGATAGAAGTAAATAAACTTTGTTGGGTCGCGCGAACGTGTTTTGAAACTAAAGTTTTTTTTTTGCGTTTTCGGACGATACACGGCAATGCATTCAAAGACCAAGTCATAAACATAACCAAAGTTTCCCATCAGCTTGCAATACTAATGATATTATTCCTCTTTCAACTTCCCCATAAAGAACAGAAGTTTCATGACAAAAATATCCATACACACTCAACCGCAACCAAACCCGTACCTTTACAGTGATCGAGTCGGTCTTCTGTTCCTAAAGAAAACAAAAACAAACGGACACAAAACGCCGAGTTTACAAAGTTCAGGAACTTTTAAACGGATCCGTTTATTTGAAGATGTTTGGGAAAAGCACGCAAACATCTGACAGTCTTAAATACGAAACGCACTGAAAGCACGAAACAAAACAAAACAACTTAAAACAGAGTTCAAGTCCTGAGGCGAGAAGAAACCGTTTTCCAGAAGTCCAGCTCTTCCTCGAAGAAGCACATGATGGTCAGGGGGCGTGTGCAGCAGAAATGATTTTCCAGCCGACCTTGAGCTCTGCTTTGATTTCACTGAGCACAGTCGCATGTCTATTGAGTCACTGCAGCATAACTGACGAAGTAATGCACACACACAGCTATATTTGAAATCACCTTTATTTAGGCTACATCTTATCTTCATTGCTGTATTGCACAAGATCATGTCAAGACATGAAATAACTGGTATTAAACCTGAGGGGGGGAAAGGTTGTGCAAAACAAGAGCATTACTTAAAAATGCACTGCATCCAAAGCATACAATCTCAATTACTGTACATAAAAACATCTTGTCTGTGGGCTTCATTTTCATCATAATGATTATAAACAAAAACTGGATTTGAAAGACACATCAGAACAGTTAAATATGAAGGATGAAATTTCAAAGATGAAAAGATGAAATAAATATGAAAAATAAGTCCGTATTGTGACAAATTCGGTATTACGAGATAAAAAAATTGAAGTAATTTTTTTACCGAAATTAATTGAGATTTAAAATTGAGATTTAAACTCAGAATTTCAAGAAAGTCGTTTACATTTACAGTTACATGCTTGTTTACATTTTTTTATTTTTCGCGGTAGAAACAAGCTACCGCATTCTTGCACTCATTTGCGTTCTGAATATATTTATTGTTTCATCGAAATACATTCTTTCCCAAGAGAAAATCTAATTTCAATCCCATGTAAGATTCCTTCAAACTGAAAGCGAAGAAAAGTGTGTGAGAGAAATTATTTTTAGATTGTGAGATAAAAAGTGACAATTACCTGTTTTAATTTTTGTCCATGGCAGAAAAAAAACAGAATTGCGAGATGTTAACTCAGAATTCTAAGAAAAAGAAGCTGTATTGTGATAAATTCGGTATTACGAGAATTTTTTTTCTAATTGTGAATAAAAAAAAAAATTAAGTATTTTTTATTCCGAGAAAGTGTGAATTTCTTGTTTATAACTCGCAATTTTGAGAAGAAAAGTCTGAATTGTGCGACAAACTTGCAATTGCAAGAAAAAAAAAATCCACGGCAGAAAAAACTTCCCTCCTGAATTGGGAGATGTAAACTCAGAATTGTAAGAAGAAAAATTCTGTATTGCGACAAATTCTGTATTACAAGAATTTTTTTTTCGAATTCTGGATAAAAAAAAACATTCTGAGAAAGTAGGAATTTCTTGTTTAAAACTTGCAATTTTGAGAAGAAAAGTCTGAATTGTGAGATTCAGCAATTGCGAGAAAAAAAATGAATTGCGAGATGTAAACTCGGAATTCCAAGAAAGTCGGAATTCTTGATGATTTCCAGCTCCTTGAGAGAGTTTAATTTTATGCAGATGAGCAGCGAAGGAAACATCCAATGGGCCTTCAGATGTTCCCAGTGGCGTCGAGCAGCTGCTCTCGGATGGAGTTGAGCTCCACTAAACCCTCCTGCAGTTGTTTAGCCAGGCTTCGCACTTCAGCCGTCACCTCCTTCTTACAACCTTTCTTCACCTCCTTCATGTCTTTAGTGAAGAACTTGTCCATTCCTGAATGCAGACTGGCTAGCTTGACCAGAGTGTTGTGGGTTATCTCTTCGGCTCGCTCGACCGGGTCAGTAACGAGGCTGATGGTTTGCAGCGCCCGTCGCACTTCCCAGTCGCCGGTGTAGTAGTTGTTGCGTCGCAGCAGCGGATGAGCGCGCATTCGACCGAGACCTTCAACGATGAACCGCAAACAGTGCAGCATTTCCACCAGCTGCGTCTCGTAGTCCTGAACGATTACCTCAATCTTCTTACGGTCCTGCGTGAGGATGGAACAAAAACAACATTAGACCATTTCATCAAGTAAAAGTCTTTTAGTAAAACTCTACAGACGTCCTTATTCAGCTCGTGCTTAACGTGTCTTTCTGCTGTAAAATCTGAAAACATGCTATAGAAAACAAGAAAACTTACTAGCAATGTGGTAAATCATGCTAGCAGCATGCTAAACCTGCTAGCAATGAACTCATTAATGCTAGAAACATGCTAAAATGATTCAATTATGCTAGCAAAATGTTTAAACATGCTAGCAATGTAATAATTCATGCTAGCATTGTGCTAAATCATGGTAGAAATAAGCTAGAACTCGTCAGCAACGTGCTATATTATTTGAACATATAAAATCGAAATCTTACTAGTAACGTGCCAATTCAAGCAGGAAACATGTCTGCAAAGTCATAAATCATGCTAAAATATGCTAACAATGTGTTAAATTATGCTAGCAGCATTTTAAACATGCTAGCAATCTGCTAATTCAAGCTAAAATGTTAGAATTGTGTTAAATCATGCTAGCAAAATGTATAAACATGCTATAAATATACTAAAACATGTCAGCAATGTGCTAAAGCAAGAAAAATGCCTGAAAAATGCTAAAACATGCTAGCAAAATGCTAAAGCATGTGAGTAAATCTGATAATTCATGCTAACATGTCATCAACTTGATAAAACATGTAATCAATGTGCTAGAGATTCTTAATAACATTCTGTTGACAAGTAAAATCTGCAAACTTCAAGCTTTTCAAAGTTATTTCAAACTTTCAGACAAAGGCTTTGACAACCCAGATAGCAAACTGACATTGAATCAACGTGGAAATATGACATCGAAACAACGTTGATCTGACATTGTTTTGCTCATCGAATTAACGTTGAACCAACGAACATTGTTTCAAAACTAACTGAAAATCAACTTGAAATCAACGCGTTGTTTCAACGTTATGAAAGCAAACCAATTTTCGATTTCATTTAGCTTTGAAGAATGCCGCGTCTGACGTTGGTTCAACGTTAATTCGATGAGCAAATCAACGTTGTTTCAATGCCATGAGAGACGTCGTTTCCACGTTGATTCAATGTCAGTTTGCTGTCTGGGAAGCCAACATCCAAGTTAGCCATAAAACTTAACTCATCTAGTAAATGTTAGCGAGGCTTGATCTAAAGATCGGCAAAGCCAATTTTATTTGAAAGAATCGACAGGAATAGTTCAAAGGTGTTGGTTTGTAATCCTCTAACAGCACATGAACGTACATGCATGTTGTTGATGTTGTCTGAAATGCTGGCTGAAGCCGCCGTGATGCCGCCCGCCGTAGCGATGCCCAGTCCGATGGCCGAGACGATGATGGAAGCGCCGAACGTGACCGGAGCCAGCGCCAGTCCCGTGATGGCCGCGGCTCCACCGATGGCTGTGGTCGTTCCCCCCGTGATGTTGGCGACTTTAGTGCGATGGTGAAAGTTGCTGAGGTCGTCGGCGATGCCGTATAAGATCAGCACGTGCTGGTAGAGAAGCTCGGCTCGCTCCATGAAGAGCTTCAGGTACACCCGGAGACCACGATGGACCTTATCGGCCAACGCTTTAAACGATCTGACAGGAGAGAAAGAGGACAGTCTCAGGCTACGTTTACACAAAGCCGGGTTTTTAGCAAAACGAATATTTCCCCCCTCTCCGTTTTCAAAAATAACATTGTGCACACATGTTTTCCCAGGACATGTCCTGTTTTCATATAACAATTTTCTATCCATACAGAGGAGGCATAACCTACTTTAAATGTATTGAAATTAATAAGGTATCTTTGAGTAAACTTCGAGTATCATTTGAGTTGGCCCATGTGTTTGCTGGGCCGAGTGTCCTGGTTTTTGGTAATCAAAATATGGTCACCCTAGCATAAATACGTCGTCGAGCGCCATCATAACTATGCCAAACCTATGGGCGGCAGTGTAGGGAGAAGGATAAAGCCACGCAAGCCAATCAGAATCCTCAAAATCGACAAGAGAGAACTTAAGACCCCGTTTCTCTCAGTTCACACGACAACACATAACCGGCGTTTTCAGAAATCTCCCCTTTGGCCGGAGTTTTTAGAAATAATCGTTTTCTGTGATAAAAACGAAGGAGAGGCCAAACCGCAGGGAATTTTCTACGTTTTCCCTTCGTGTAAACGGGGGCCTCAATAAGTGTGAGGCTTAAAAGAGACAAAAACAAAGACAAACGGCAGAACTTTAGGATTTTATCAATGACGACTTAGTTGATTGGTTGATTGTTTTCCAGCTAAATATCTAAATGTTCTTAAATCAAGAAGAATAAACTATCCAGTGGGGTCAAAAGCAATCAATTCCTTTTCATTTGAACTATTTTTTTTTGTACCCAATTGAGAGATACATATTACAGTGCCGAAAGTTGTGGGACGCCCGTCTTTACATGCACATGAACTTTAATGATATTCCTGATCCGTAGGGTTTCATATGGAGTTGGCCCACCCGTTGCCGCTATTACAGCTTCAACTCTTCTGGGAAAGTTTCCGCAAGGTTTAGGAGTGTGTTTATGGGAGGTTTGACCATTCTGATGTTAGACGAGAAGGTCTGGCTCGCAGTCTCCGCTCTAATTCTTCCCAAAGATGTCCTATAGGGTTGAGTTCAGGATTCTGCGCAGGCCAGTCAAGTTCCTCCACATCAAACTCGCTCATCCATGTCTTTATGGTCCTGATTTTTGCACTGGTGCGGAGTCATGTTGGCACAGGAACATCCCCAAACTGTTCCCACACTGTTGTCTTGGTACTAAGGGTAGTAAGTTCACTGGAACTAAGGGGCCAAGACCAACCCCTGAAAAACAACCCCGCGCCGTAATCCCCCCTCCACCAAACTTTACACGTGGGACAATCCATTCAGGCAAGTACCATGAAGCTCTCTACGCACTGTTCCTGAGCTAATCTGAAGACCGCGTTTCCCGAAAGCATCGTTAGCCAACTATGGTTGGATGTTCCGTCGTTACCAATAGAGTTCAATGGAAAATTGCGAACAACTTGCGACCATAATTGGCCAACGATGCTTTCGGGAAACGTACCCCAGGACTGATCTTATGATATTGTAAATCTTACATGGTCTCTTCCTCTTTAGAGCTGATCGTCTCGTTCGGAGTTACTTCATCCCAAACTGAAAAACACAGAGATTGAATGTGAATGTGATTTCGATCTGATGACCACCGGGAGATTAAGTGAATTAATATGGACTCACACTCGACTGTATTCCACCACTCCATCAGACTGTCAGTGTCCTGCCAATCAAACACACGTTTATGACAAACACACTTCAAAATCACGTCAAGAGAAAGTGACTCATTCACATACTGCAATAAACAGCAAAGCAGAATCTTTAGACTTGAGTGGAATGAAGTTAGCATGACGAGGAATGTCATAACCCAGACAGCAAACTGACATTGAATCAACGTGGAAACGACGTCTCTCATGACATCGAAACAACGTTGATTTTGCTCATCGAATTAATGTTGAACCAACGTCAGACGCGGCATTCTTCAAAGCTAAATGAAAATCGAAAATTGGTTTGCTTTCATAACGTTGAAACAACGTTGATTTCAAGTTGATCTTCCGTTAGTTTTGAAAGAATGACTCGTCTGACGTTGGTTCAACGTTAATTTGATGAGCAAAACAATGTCAGATCAACGTTGTTTCGATGTCATGTTTCCACGTTGATTCAATGTCAGTTTGCTATCTGGGAATGCACCCCTTCACAAGAAACCATGCTAGTACCATACTAAATCATGCTAAACATGCTACCAATGTGCTAACATTGGGTTAAATCCTGCTATCAAAATGTTTAAACATCATGCTAGCTTGTATTATGCTAAACCACATCAGAAATGTGCCAAACCATGTAAGGACCATGTGAAATTATACTAATAATGTGCTTAATTCAAGCAAGAAACATGTCTGCACATGGTTAAATCCTGCTAAAACATGCTATCAATGTGCTAAATTATATCATGTGAAATCATCCTAGCAATGTGCTTATTAATGCATGCAACATGCTAATTCATGCTAGCAATGTAATCATGCTAAAACATGTTAGCACGTTGCTAAAACGTTAGCAATGTTGTTCAAATCACATCAAGAGAAAAGGACAGATACTTCAGTGTACAGCACAGCAGAATCTATAGACCTAAGTAAACGTGACGAGGAAGGTCGTAATGCACACATAAATTTACTGACCCCTCCATCCTCCTCTTCCTCTTCCTCATGCTTCTGCTCTTCCTCTTGATCTTTCAGTCGTTTCATGTCCATCTGAGAAGACATCCACTCAGCCTTACAGAGAGAGATGTGATGGAAAATGAGACGACAATACCCGACACAGAGATCAGATAATACAATCATACAGAAATATTTATCGTCTGTATTATGGGGCCCTGTGATTTCCACGAGAAACGGAAATCGGAGTTGCGGAATCAAGTCATAAAAATAGAATTTAACGTTACCGGAATACGGAATTTTTCAAATATTGATGAATAAATTAAAAGCAGATCAGTAAATTTAAATCGTACTGACACAGAAAAACTATCATCATAACATGAACACACAGAAACACGAAGCTCTTCATCGCAACCCGGCAAAATAAAAGTTCGGTTCAACTTGAAGAAATTGTGACAGAAATATATTAATGTTGTACAGTACAATTAAATAAATTATAACGTATTGTTAAAACTTAATTTGTTTTATGGAATAATTTTCGGAAAACATTTTCTTCCATGTTTTATTCTCGACGGTAAAGCTATTGTGTTAAATTAAACAGACAAAAAAAAAAAGTTTAATTTCATATGATTAAAAGGTCTATTAAATTAAAGTTTTAAGTCTTCATCCGATTTCCAGAAAAATGTAAATACACAACATAGAATTTCTGGAGGAACAAAATAAAATAAACAATGATTTTTCTGTTTTATATATAAATTGTTGTTTTTATAGACATGCTTTTTGATTATTAAAATTTAATTAAAGTATTAAAATTCACAGCTTAAGCTTAAAAAAAGAAAACACAGAACTTGGTAAAAAAATAAAACGTAATTTGAGATTACAAATAAAATGGATTTCATTGGGCCTTTTAAGAAATTGTTGTAAAATGTTATAAGTTTCATGATTTTCATCATGAAAAAAAAAAAATGGAATTCCGAAAATTAAAAAGACAAAAAACAAAAAAAAAAAAACACGAAATTTGGGAAAAGATAAAAGGGACTTCATAGGACCCTTCTACTATATTGTGCTAAATACCTTCGCAGCGTCAGACAGGTAATAATTTGCAGACGTGGCACCAGGAGATTGCAGAAAATCTTCGGGAAAAACGTCCTGAAAAAAGCAGGATTTACACCAGATGAAGTAGCACTGAAGGAGTTTATTGTAGCAGTAGGTTGAGATGAAGGCGCTCTAACCTTTGACCCTGTGCGATGCGTGTACGTTTCTTGAGGTTTCTGTGGTTTATTGTCCTGTATGAGAGAGGCCGTCAGTGCTAAACTCATTTGCGTGAACAACAGAAAAGCATGCGAGTGAAAAGATAACAGATACCGGTGTGTATTCCTCCCACCCGAAGTCGTCTTCCGGCTCCAGGTCTCCGGCCCTGAACAGATCTGCACCCTTTTGAGGGCCCTCGTCTTCCTCCACGGCCTGCAGATGTCAGACGTCAGCATTTAAACATTTAAATAGTAAGATGAGAAGAAAGTTAGACGGGCACCTTTGAGCCTCGGCGGGACAGCGGCGGCACTTTCAGAAGAGGAGGCTTCTTCATCTGCAGGAACAGCAAAACTCATTAAAGCTAAATACAAGTAAAAAATATAAATATAATTATAAACAAAACCATATTTAAATGTAAATAAAAATATTAATAAATATAAATATTATGTAGAAATAATATTTGTATTTATATTTATACAAATAATTATAATACAAATATAAAATACACAAATAATATTATATAAATATCATTTTTTATTTGACGAGATGGACTACAATTTAACCAAATTAAGCTCCATCAACAGCATCAACTCCATTAATTAAAAAAAATGAATGAATGAATGTAAATACAAAATATAATTATGAACATAAATAAAATACACATATGAATAATACACGTATGAATAATAAGATAAATACACTGTAAAAAAGTTGTTGCCTTAAATTTGTAAGTACAATCAGCTTGGATGTTTTAGTCATTTAAACCTAAAATTCAAACTTAACACTGAACTGACTTTAAAAAGTTTAATCTTGTATAACTTTTAAAATAGTTGAAAAGTGCTTAATTTTGAGGAGTTAAAATAAATAAACTAATATTTGTTTTCGTAACTTTTTTTTACAGTGTATACATATAAATAAATATACTATTATATAAATATAATTTGTATTCATATTTATTTACTTGTCTTTTATATAATTATTTACCATAGTTTAAGACAAGAATAGCCTGATAACTTTCATTGATATCAAAAAGTGATTTGACGCACATTTACATAAATGATGTCAGTAATGAAGAAGTTTCTTATGAAATAATCAATGTAAATCCTTTAACAAAACTAGTTTTCTGCTGTAGTGTTACTGTCAGCACAAGTGAAAGCACGTCTAAATCAACAAATGCGGATCAAAGAATCTGAACTGAAGCCAGAAGATTCCTCAGAGATCAGATCTAGGGAAAGTTTGAGAAATATCTGATGTGGAGATAAACCGAAGCTTCACCTCATCATGATCTTTAGTCGGCCTGATCTCAGCTTCCTCAATGCTCTGGAAAACACAAGTGTCAGCTGCCGTTTAAATACTATATATTGCTATATCATGACATTTAATATTGCAAAAATGGTCAGAACTGATTTTTGAATACACCAAAAATCATACAAACTGAAGCCAAGGTTATTATTGTCAAGTAAAACCATAGAAAACATTTTACAAGTTGAAATAAAATAAACATTGACTAAAAATGAAATAAAATAAAATAGTAGTTGAGATAAAATGTTTATATACTTTCTATGAGTTTAACTTGAAGTACTAAAATAACTAAAACAAAAATGTATGTTTAATATATTATATATATTAAAAATGTAAAATGTATTAAATACAAAAATGTATGTTTAATATATTATATAAAAAATAATAAAAATAACAAATGAAAGATATAAAAATAAAAACGAATTTAAAATATTAATGAAAACTAGAATCATATATTAATGATATAACATGCATACTTAAAATAAAATAAATGCTAACTATTTTAAAATGTATTTATTTATTTATTTATTATTATTTATAAATTTAAAAATGTATTTTATAATAAATTATTTTATTTCAACATTTTAAGAAAACATTTTGTATAATTTACACAAAGTACATTATAGTATATTAACATGAATTTAAAAAAAAACTAACAAAATTACTAAAACTTTAACTAAAATGAAAATGGGAAATAAAATGTAATAAAGTATTTGATTTCATTCAACTAGTTTCTAGTTTAACAAAGTTTAACTCGTGCTAAAATAATAAACTGAAATTAAAGCTGCATGCAACATTTGGCGGGGTTCAAGCATTTAAGGCCTTTAAGCACATAAGCATTTAGGACATTAAGTTTTATTTAGCAAGCTTTTAACCACTGAAATCATAAATGGAAAAGTCCATATACAGCCAATTTACCATAGGAAATTTATGGGTTTAAAGATTTCTAACAGTTATAGCGCCAGCTATTGTCCGATCTCTATAAAATTTTGGATGCTTGTTCCGAATGTCATGTCACATATGCGCACCAATTTGTGTGAAGTTCTGAGTTTTCCTTTAGGATTTATAGGCTTTTGAGTGTATTTTGCCATGCCCATTTTCTAAATGACCCTGTCATAGCCACCCAAATGCAAAAGTTTAATTTTTTGATCCAGTTAAAATTATTTAAATTTTAGTCTAAAGATTTGCCCTAGACTGGTTTAGTTCTGATCGGGCGAAAAAACAGGGAAAATTCACAAAAGAAGACTTTCGACAAAATTTCGACAAAAGCAGACATTTTTTCACCCAAATTGAGGCCAAATCTGGCCAGGTTTCACGTCTCTAACTCTTACGGTTCGGTCTGCATGATCACAAACCTTACAAATGCAATAGGGGTTCAGTACTAAAAGCTCTCAGCTGTGAGTTTGAAGATTTACCTTCGAATATCTGCGGTGCAAAAGCGGGACTTTAAACTTCGTCGGTTTCTTCTGTAAACAAACAGATCAAAAATGAATCAAATACAAAATAAAATGCCATTGAAAGCTTCACAGAGATCATTGGAACGCACCGGCCGACAGTCTTGCGTCTCACTGAAGTCTGAAGTCGTGAAGAGATCGGATGCCTGAACACATCAACACAACACCAGTCATGCTTCTTCTCAGTTAGTTCTGGTTTAAAGATGAGTTATGTTTCCTATCTAAGCCCTACCTTTGAAGGAGGACCCATAAACCCACTGGAGTATGGACTCTGGAAAACAAGGTTCATATATTAGCACTAAAAGCCTCAGTAGAAGTGACCAGAAGCAGAATATGGCTTAGTTTCAACCTTAAACTGGTTTGGGGAATAACTGGTGTCTTCAGTGTAAATGCTCATTCTCTTCAGCTCATCCATCCCGTCCTGATCCTAACATCACATCACATCTGTGTTAATAATCCCCCACACACACACTCCTGAGCTTCCCACAAACACCCGTACGACTCGGACAAACCTTGAGATGTGGATGAGGAGTGAAACCACATGCTCCCTTCAGTTCATCCTCGCGCTCCTTTTCCTGGAACACACCGTTATACACACCGTTATATAGCAGTTACACATCTCCTGCAGTAATATAGTACAATACTAATCTTAAAGTCCCCCTGAGGTGAAAATCCAGCTTTTAATGTTGTATGTGGTGTTTTAATCCGCTTTAACACACACCATGTGTAAGTTCATGAGTCGACAGCATTGAGTATTTTCTGATTAAAACTGCAGTGAACCAAAAACACGGTGTGAAATCGCTGGTGTTTCTGACGTCACAAACCACCTTGTAACCAATCAGATCAATGTGTGATTGCGGAGCTGAGTGAGTGAGTGGAGGCGGGGCTCATTTGCATATTCATAAAACCTCGCATACTAAATGAGGCAAGGGTGTCGAGTTACATTCAAGATATTTTAAGGCACAAAATAAATTTTTTCGTCGTTCGTCTGTAATTCGCGAATTAAAAATAAATGAATGTAATTAAAAACAACATTTTTTAATAGTGAGAATTGTATTTCTGATATGGAACTTTTTGCTATCAACAATTTAATTTGAATGGAAGCCTATGGTGACATTTCACTAGTGAAAATACAATTACAGACATCAATTAGCACTTTAACTACTGAAAATGTCATTTTTGATATCAAGAATTGATATCCTGGAAATTAATAGAAGTTTAAACGGCTTGCCATAGTGAAAGGGCCTTTATGTTTGCATGAGAAACCCACGGTTCAGTTTTTCCACATTTGACCCAAACGGGGGTTGAAACAACCCAGCATTTTTCGAGCGTGTACAGTATTCTCTTCTGAAAATACCTTAAAATGTGGCGTTCCCACCGTCGGTTCATTTTCAGCCTTGACAACCCGATAACAAATACAAAACTCTCATTAAAAACACAAACTAATATAATAAAATATAAGCAATCAAGGAAAACAGACTTACCTTGGATAAACCGATAACAAACCCTCTTTGAGGAACAAACTTGACTTTGACCTTCTTTTTGTGTTTCTAATAAAAAAAGAGAATAACAGTGAATAAAATAATGCATTGATGAGAAAATGAACGACAGAACAGAAAGACGACAGATCTCTCTCTTCTACCTGTCCATCGTCGATCCCTCCCGCGTTTCTATCGCCATCATTCTCTGCAATCTACAACAGGAAATCACATGTAACTCAAAGTCTATCAACCACCCTGAACACCATAGCAACTGCATAGCAACACCTTAACAACCACCCTGAACACCATAGCAACTGCATAGGAACACCTTAACAACCACCCTGAACACCATAGCAACTGCATAGCAACACCCTAACAACCACCCAGAATACCATAGCAACTGCATAGCAACACCTTAACAACCACCCATAATATCTAAGCAACTGCAGAGCAACACCTTAAAAATTACCCAGAATACCCAAGCAACTGCATAGCAACACCTTGACAACCACCCAGAATACCCTAGCAACTGCATAGCAACACCTTAACAACCACCCTGAACACTCTAGCAACTGCATAGCAACACATTGACAACCACCCAGAATACCCTAGCAACTGCATAGCAACACCTTAACAACCACCCTGAACACTCTAGCAACTGCATAGCAACACCTTGACAACCACCCAGAATACCCAAGCAACTGCATAGCAACACCTTGACAGCCACCCAGAATACCCAAGCAACTGCATAGCAACACCTTTGCCTTCTCAAGTTTACAAAGTTTGCATTGCCAAGATATCAGTGTTCTAACAAAATTAAATATATATATATATGTGTGTGTGTAATGATAATAATGATATATAATATTAAAAAATATATAAAGCTATCTCAACATTTTTGAAAAAAAGACAAAAGTAATAAATGAATCAAATTTTAACTGATAATAAAAATCACTTTTTAAAAATCTATTATTAAAACTGCATTAGCATCTCAAAGACAGTGCATTAACAGTGACATCTGCCGGCCACAGACATGTACAGACAATGAACGGACTAAAATATCAAGCCAAACAACATTGCTTCAGAAATTATATATTTCTTATTTTATTTATTATCATATTTTTGTGCTATTTTATATTTTTATTTAGTTTTTTTATTGTAATTTAATGAAAAATAAAAGCATTCAAATGCACATATTCATGTCAATATATATATATATATATATATTACACATTTTTTATTTAGCTGTTTGATATTTTTATATTTCATTTTACATCTTTATTTCATTTTATTTCATTTTTGTGGTATTCTTTCTTTTCTTTTCTTTATATAATTTTTATATAGATTTTTATTTTATTTTATTGTAATTTCAATTTTATTTTACGTTTTTTTCTTTTTCTATTTTCTTTTTATATATATATTTTTTTCATTTTATTTAATTTTTTCCTTAAACATCACAATATCACACACATGTCAGAGTGCTTGTGTGTTTTCTTCAATATTATTTTTAATGATTATTGTGATAAATTCCACTCAATCTCAGAAACTACTATCAGACACTCTGATGTGAATAATAATGCAGCTGTGCGTGCCGTGTGTGTATTAATAACGTCCAGAACTGACGACAATCTCAGGATAAAGTCTAACACCACGGTCATTCATGAAACTGGAACTGGAGAAGGATTTACCGGAGGCTTGTCCTGCAGTGAAGCGCACAGATCCAAGTCTCCGTCAGAAAAGGGATCTTTAGAAAAAGACTGCAACACACACATGTATAAATAATAGGATTTAAAGAGACTCTAGTCCTCATGTGTGCGGCCCCTTCAGATAACGTTATGCAGATTGAACAGAACAGAACGCCGCCATTGTAGTCTCGAGTTTCACAATATTTCCTCATTATAATAATTGATGCGCAGAATAAAGGGGCGGGGCCTGCTTGAGTTAGTAAACTGCTGTTTATGGGCATTTCCCAAAACACACTCGAAGCGCTAGACCAATCACAACACACTGCTCCAGCCAACCAATCAGAGCACAGTGTGCTTCTCAGTAGGAGGGGCTTCATAGAGACAGGAAGTAAACATTACTAAAGTGTCCAAAAATTCAGAATGTCTAAAGAATAGTTTTCCCTTTTATTTGTATTTAAACAATATAATATGATAAATTGTCTGCATAATCTTTCAAATTTAATTTAAAATAATTTTGAAATAAAATAATCTAAATCACAAATTATTAATTATTTTATTAAATACTTTTTAATTTTTAATGGATAAACTTGTAATCAAACATAACTTATATATAAAGTATTATATCGTTCTAAACATCATTTTCTGTTTGGTTTATGGCTTTAAAATCCAGGCTTTAAATCTAGAGTACCAGCTATATTTCATATTTCATATTTCATATTATATTCCTCATACCTGTGGTCGATGCAGCACAGGAGGCTTGAATTTCTGTGTTTGCTTCTGTAAAATAGATATAAGAAATAAATATATTAAAGATACAGTGGACATCGCAGCACAGTGTGTGTGTGTGTGTGTCGCACCGGTGTAAAGTCCACATCTTCATCTCTCTTCGGTCCGAACGGTGTGAGATCAGCCGTTTTTGACCAGGATGGCAAATCATCCTAAGAAGACAATTCAGTGAGGTCAAAGGTCAAACCATACGCATATTTAACATGATAAATGTGTTGTTGATGGATCAAACCTGATAGTCAGCAGGGAATCCTTTAGCTGAAGCGTCAGTGTGTTTCGTCTGAAGATATTAAACATCAGAAAGTGACTCATTACACTCTTGCTAGTTTAATCATATGCGGATCAATTCATACCAGAAATGTCCATGAAAGTGTTAAATGAACATATAAACAGGCTCGTTATTAAAACATTGTGTTATACTGGTATATTGGAAATGAGCAGCCTTTCCTTTACGCCTAAACACTAGTACAGGGTCATTTGTTTATTTAAAATAATATTACAATGTGCATTATATATTATCTATATTAATATATATATTTTATATATATAAATATATATATATATATATTTTATAAATATATTTTATATATATATATATATATATATATATATATATATTATAATATACACACATCATTAGACACACTCGTTATCCGTCTTATCCGTCTATTTGAGGATATTCACCTTTGACCCTCGACGCAGACTCAGAGTGTGTGTGTTCGTCTCAGAGCTCTTCTCTTCATCCACAATTTTATCCTGAAATCAAAGATTTGGTTGACATGCAGAAACTATGATTATATATAAATAAAACTCGAATGTGACTTTGGGTTGAGACTATAGACCCCTTTTGCGCCGACGTCACAGTTACGTCACGGCGCTAGCTGGAGGCAAAACAAAGTGAAAACTGGAGGCGGCCAATACAAAACAGCACAGATTCGGCTACATAATAAGGAGCTTTAATAATTGTTATTATTATTAAATGTCATCTTGTTGTGTTGTTTGGTGCAAGAATTGATGAAAAATGAATTGCTGTATCTGGACTTTTTATTTCTAGAAAATATTCACATCATTAAAATCGCACCGTAATGTCACTCTTTACATTGTCGTGGTCTCGGCACTGGCTCGGCAGAACTGCGGATCGTACACACAAGTCTTGTACAGGACCATATAGGCATCTAAAGATTTATATGCCCTCAGTTTCTCTTTACGATCGGTTTCTCTGTAAGTGTAGAAGTCAGGCCACTCAACCGAGGTAACGTACATTAATCCTGTCAGATCGTCCATGCATCGAGTGAGCGTGTAGGCGGCTACGGGTCGGCCAATCTGGTTCTGTCCGTTAAAAATAACTTTTGAAAATAACAATCGCGGTCCTGGACACTGAGTGACCTTACACATTAAGATAATATCGCATTTTCTCCAGTCATTGTTAAAAAACAAGCTAACAATCCTTGCTAACTAGCGTTAGTGAAGCGGCCAGATGTATCTTTCTGCCTCCACCTAAGCTCCGCCCACAAAAAAACGTCACCATGTTTACCAACTGTAAAAGGGTCTATATATTGCACATGACAATAAGAGCTTTAAAACAGTCCATATTTCATCAGTTCTCTCTATAAAAAGCCTAGAGAATTACAATAGAGGAGGTTTACACTTTAGGGTTCAATTACAATTCATTTTTTAAACAAATTTTCGTTTTCCAGTGAACATTTACAAATAAACGACACACTTCTCTCATGTGCCCTAATCTGCGATTGTAATTGACTGGTTTGATTGGTCTCTGCTCTGATTGGTCACATGACCCAGTCTGTTGTGATTGGTCTCCTCTGCTCTGATTGGTCAGATGACCCAGTCTGTTGTGATTGGTCTACTCTGCTCTGATTGGTCAGATGGCCCAGTCTGTTGTGATTGGTCTACTCTGCTCTGATTGGTCAGATGGCCCAGTCTGTTGTGATTGGTCTACTCTGCTCTGATTGGTCAGGTGACCCAGTCTGTTATGATTGGTCTGCTCTGCTCTGATTGGTCAGATGACCCAGTCTGTTGTGATTGGTCTACTCTGCTCTGATTGGTCAGATGGCCCAGTCTGTTGTGATTGGTCTACTCTGCTCTGATTGGTCAGATGGCCCAGTCTGTTGTGATTGGTCTACTCTGCTCTGATTGGTCAGATGACCCAGTCTGTTATGATTGGTCTGCTCTGCTCTGATTGGTCAGATGGTCCAGTCTGTTGTGATTGGTCTACTCTGCTCTGATTGGTCAGATGGCCCAGTCTGTTATGATTGGTCTGCTCTGCTCTGATTGGTCAGATGACTCAGTCTGTTGTGATTGGTCTCCTCTGCTCTGATTGGTCAGATGACCCAGTCTGTTGTGATTGGTCTACTCTGCTCTGATTGGTCAGATGGCTCAGTCTGTTGTGATTGGTCTACTCTGCTCTGATTGGTCAGATGACTCAGTCTGCTGTGATTGGTCTACTCTGCTCTGATTGGTCAGATGGCTCAGTCTGTTGTGATTGGTCTACTCTGCTCTGAATGGTCAGATGACCCAGTCTGTTGTGATTGGTCTACTCTGCTCTGATTGGTCAGATGGTCTACTCTGCTCTGATTGGTCAGATGGTCCAGTCTGTTGTGATTGGTCTCTGCTCTGATTGGTCAGATGGTCCAGTCTGTTGTGATTGGTCTCTGCTCTGATTGGTCAGATGACCCAGTCTGTTGTGATTGGTCTCCTCTGCTCTGATTGGTCAGATGGCCCAGTCTGTTGTGATTGGTCTACTCTGCTCTGATTGGTCAGATGACCCAGTCTGTTATGATTGGTCTGCTCTGCTCTGATTGGTCAGATGGTCCAGTCTGTTGTGATTGGTCTACTCTGCTCTGATTGGTCAGATGGCCCAGTCTGTTATGATTGGTCTGCTCTGCTCTGATTGGTCAGATGACTCAGTCTGTTGTGATTGGTCTCCTCTGCTCTGATTGGTCAGATGACTCAGTCTGTTGTGATTGGTCTACTCTGCTCTGATTGGTCAGATGGCTCAGTCTGTTGTGATTGGTCTACTCTGCTCTGATTGGTCAGATGACTCAGTCTGCTGTGATTGGTCTACTCTGCTCTGATTGGTCAGATGGCTCAGTCTGTTGTGATTGGTCTACTCTGCTCTGAATGGTCAGATGACCCAGTCTGTTGTGATTGGTCTACTCTGCTCTGATTGGTCAGATGGTCTACTCTGCTCTGATTGGTCAGATGGTCCAGTCTGTTGTGATTGGTCTCTGCTCTGATTGGTCAGATGGTCCAGTCTGTTGTGATTGGTCTCTGCTCTGATTGGTCAGATGGTCCAGTCAGTTGTGATTGGTCTACTCTGCTCTGATTGGTCAGATGACCCAGTCTGTTGTGATTGGTCTACTCTGCTCTGATTGGTCAGATGACCCAGTCTGTTGTGATTGGTCTACTCTGCTCTGATTGGTCAGATGACCCAGTCTGTTGTGATTGGTCTACTCTGCTCTGATTGGTCAGATGACCCAGTCTGTTGTGATTGGTCTACTCTGCTCTGATTGGTCAGATGGCCCAGTCTGTTGTGATTGGTCTACTCTGCTCTGATTGGTCAGATGACCCAGTCTGTCATGATTGGTCTTCTCTGCTCTGATTGGTCAGATGACCCAGTCTGTTGTGATTGGTCTACTCTGCTCTGATTGGTCAGATGGCCCAGTCTGTTGTGATTGGTCTACTCTGCTCTGATTGGTCAGATGACAAAAAAACTCCATTATGTTTGAAACTTTGCAGACCTTTTACATTCACAAACATCTCTGTTACACACTGGATGAACTGGAATATCTGAAAAACCATAATTGGGGACCTTTAGAAACTGGTTATCAAAAGTCAGTCAGTGATTTACCTTTGATCTCCTCCTGATCAGCAGAGAGCGTCGCAGTTTTTTCCCCAGCGTCTATAAAGATCAACAGGACGACATGAGCACGTGTAGGACGGACACACACTCGAAGTCACTCACGCTGAGTTTAATAAGTACCTGCTTTCCATTCTTCTTCACAGTCCCGTCGACTCCAGCGGACGCTTCTGTGATCTAGAGTCAACAATATTGTGAAACCAGATTTTTACAGTGTGAGAAACTCAGTCATATGTGATTTGGGTGGTTGCCAAGACATAACTATGTGGTTGCTCTGTATTTTTAGCGCATTCCACACCCTCAACGTTTGAAAAACATCATATTTCTTCATCTTCTGTAGTTTGTTGATTTAGACTACAATAAATCAATGCAATCAGGATAAATATGTCGGCCAAGTATGTTTTGTGAGGTTAATTATTGAGTGTAAAGATTATTACATTATTTTAATTATGTTTTAACTACTATAACCTTCAATTTATTGTTTGATTTTAAACACATTTTTTTGTTAATTATTATTTTAATTATTATTATTTGTTTTATTTAGAATAAAATAGAATTTAATGGGTTTTTTTTTATTATTATTGTAAAATATTTTAGGTTTTATTGCTGAATGTAAAATGAAGTAAAACCGCTTTGGGAAATTCCGAAAACTTTTTAATCTAATACTTCAGTTCAGTTTTGTTTCAAATATCAACAATGTTTTTAAAGGGGTAGTTCACTTTTAAACAAATTTTGCTGATAATTTACTCAAGATGTCCATGTCTTTCTTTCTTCATTCGAAAAGAAATTAAGGTTTTTGATGAACGAATCTTTTTTCGAGTCATTTGGTTGATTCAGCGAACGAAATGACTCGAAAAAAGATTAGTTCACTTTGATGAACGAGTTCGAACAGGAGAGTCACGAACACGCATCATGGAAACTTAAACTTTTTTATTTATTTTTGAAATTAGCGATCGTTTCGCATGATAAGACCCTTATTCATCGTCTGGAATCGTTTAAAGCTCTTTGAACAGTTTCCACTGAAACTGTCTTTTGGACCTTGAACCGTTTGGACCCCATTGAAGTCCATTATATGAAGAAAACCCTGGAATATTTTCATCAAAAACCTTAATTTCTTTTCGACTGAAGAAAGAAAGACATGGACATCTTGGATGACACGGGGGTGAGTAAATTATCAGCAAAAGTTTTATTAAAAGTGAACTACTCCTTTAATAGTTCGTCATCTGACGGTCTGACTCACCCGTACAGAGTCTCTCCGAAGCCTTAATTTCCCAGCCTGCACCAGAGAAAGAGCAGATGAAATGCCAGTTTTTTTGCACAGGTTTTCTATTCTACATTTCACACATTAAGAACTTACTGGTTTCCATTCTTGAGAGAGTTCTGGACTGTGTTCGGGCCAGTCCTCCACACACCTTTCCTGTAAATCACGTTTCAGTCACGTAGGTGTATTTGTTTTAAATCAAGCATAACACTCTACACAGGCATATGAGCCAATTTAAGGGTGTTTCTTCAACCACAGGAATTAAATTAAATAAATAAATCAACTTTTTCCTTGTTGCAACATGAAGATCAAATAAAAATCCTTCTTCAGCATTTATCTTTTAACTACAGTACAGTCAAATAATGCAATATTTATATATATAATTAAATAACTCAGAAACATTCTTACAATTATAAAACATTTTTTTTTTCTGAATGTGAACTGCAGATTTTAACTGTCCTGGAAGTAAAAACTCCATTAATTCATTCAAAATAATCATGTTTTACCCATGTGCAGTTTGCAATGCCTCATGGGATTGTAGTTCTTTCCCTCACTAGAGCCATTGAGTTCACCATCTTGTACATTTGTATTTTATGTCCAGTTATCAAATACTTTTTTGCTTCAAATAAAAGTTTGTAATGTTTGGTGTGTTAAAATGCTTTAACGAAGACTGTTTTGAAATGGAAAAAATTCTTTGGACCAACGCACACACATACCTGACCGATGAGAAGGACATCCTCATAAACCGGCAGATCGTTCTCCACCTCAGCCGTCGGGTTCTGCCACATCAAAACATTTCATCATAGTGTTGAACAGATAACAGAGCGTAAGATACAATAATAATAAAAAACTAAAAATACAATAATAGTGGAGTGAAAATAAAATTAAGGCGACAATTTATTTCGATGGTCCACTTAAAACATTCTACTAACTATAAGTAACTATTATTTAACTATTATTTATTATTTAACTATTATATAAGTAACTTATTTTAACCTAACAGTCTACTACAGTCTACTAACCCTCTAATGAGAGATAGTTGACATGAACTGTGGTTGCAAATTAATGAGAGATAGCTGACATGTTGCAAATTAATGAGATTTAGTTGAAATATAGTTGCAAATTAATGAATTTGTTGACATATAGTTGCAAATTAATGAGATTTAGTTGACATGTGGTTGCGGATTAATGAATTTGTTGACATGTAGTTGCCTATTAATAAGAGCGAGTAACCATGTAGTTGCAAATTAATGAGATTTAGTTGACATGTGGTTGCGGATTAATGAATTTGTTGACATGTAGTTGCCTATTAATAAGAGCGAGTAACCATGTAGTTGCAAATTAATGAGATTTAGTTGACGTGTTGTTATGAATGAATGAATTAGTTGACGTAGTTGCCTATTAATAAGAGTGAACTGACATGAAGTTGCGAAGTAAAGAGATTTAGTTGAGAGCTGCAGACTACAGAAACCATGGAATAACAATAAAAAGATCATTCTAAATTTATATCTCACAATTCCGAGAAGAAAAATCTGAATTTTGAGACATAAACGATATGAGATATAAAAATATGATATTCTGCCTTTTCCCCTCAGAATCAAAGAAACCAATAACATTTTGCATGGATAATATTTCAATATATATATATACAGTATATATATATATACAGTATATATATATATATATATATATATATATATGTTTGCCACAATTCTGAGAACTTTTTTTCTTTCAAAATTGTGATATACTACATTCGCAATAGTGAGAAAAAAAGTTTTGTTTCAATAGTTTCTACACTGTAAAAAAAATATTTTCAAGATTTGTTATCACAACATATGCTCTTTTGTCAAATCAACTTTATAATAATTTATTTAGTTGAGATAACTTATTATTTTGAGTTTCTGATGGTTAAATTAATCTCCTTCATTGTATTAACTCACTTTTTCCAGTTCAATCAACTTAAAATTTTAAGGCAACCCAGGTTACTTACTTTTTTAAGTTAAACCAACAATTTTTTTAAAGTGTAGTAATCACAACATTTTTTCTTTTGTCAAATCAACTTAAATAATTTATTTAGTTCAGATAACATATAATTTTGAGTTTCTGATGATTAAATCATTCTCCTTCATTGTATTAACTCACTTTTTCCAGTTCAATCAACTTAAATTTTTAAGGCAACCAGGTTACTTACTTTTTTAAGTTAAACCATCAATATTTTTTTTACAGTTTATGTAAAAGGTAACGGGTTTCAATGTTAGATAGTAGTTTACTAAATCTGAGAACTCATAACTTTAGATTTTTTATAAACTATAAACATAAACTAAATTTATGCAATCGGTTACATCAAAAGTAATGAGTTAGCTTAACTCATTGGATTTGACTTTCATTTGAAGTTGAAGTTCATTTAAAGTTCGTCATTTCACTGTTTTTACTCAATAAAGAGAAGTTTTAGCTTTATTTAGTATTTAAATGCAGTGTAAAGTTATATTGTGTATTCAGAATTATTATTGTTTTAGTGAATCAATGTAAATAAGTTCAGAGTACTCATAACTATTGTTTTTAATAAACTTAAATTATTTTAGGTAATCAGAGTTACCTCAAAAGAAATGAGTTAGCTGAACTTGGGTTTAATATTTACTTCATGTTGATATCAATATTACAAATACATATAAATCGCAACTAGATAATAGATGATTTGTATAAAATAAAACGATCCTGTTACAGTTTTGTTTTGTGTAATTGGCCAATATTGAGTTCAATAATGTTTACCTGTAGTGTTATTGTAGTATAAAAAAAGAGAGAAAGAGTTAGTCTGTATCCAGATTAACATTATCATCAAATCACATCCACGTGTGGGGAAAGGAAAGGGATGAAAAGGATACGTTTGCAATAAAGGAGTGATACCTGAGGCTGACGGACGCTCTTGGGGGCTTTACTGCGAGGAGCAGGTTTCGGCGGACGCCTCCTGAACATCTGCAAGAACACAATAATGCCATTTTGTTTTGGGTGAGATATAAATCAGTCTTATAAAACCCTAAAGACCCCATGAAATGATCAGAAACAGGAAGCTGAAACCTGACATCAGGGTTAGTCAGTCTAGAAAGCATTTGATTGGACAAAAATCTACGCCATCGATATTTTGATTTGTGAGGGAAAGATTGTATTTTATATTATCTGTGTATTTTTTAGGACCCTATCATATACCGGACACCATGCAGCGCCAGGCGCGACTCGACTGTTTTTTTTGCTAGTTTCAGCCCGACGCAGTTATCATTTTCACGTCATGCGCCATATTGTTTAAATAACAAACGCATGTGTGCCAATCTGTTCGCCCATGGGCTGTTTGTCTGAAAACGCGCATTGTTGGAGTGTTGCTATTTTGAGGAACTGAAATAGACTGAGAACAACAAAACCTGGTCTAAAGTCAATGGCAATATTTTTTTGTTATTTAAAGAGAATGTTATTAATATGACATCATGACATCACTTATCTATACGCATTTTGAGCTATCCGCGTGTATGTTTACGCCGTTAAATGTCCGAGTGATTAAATGTAGACACAAAATGTAGATCTACCTCTGGGGAGCGATATTTTTCTCCTAGGATGGTAGGGGAAGACTCATAAATGGTATTAACCCCAGTAACGGGTAGGTTTAGGGACGTCATATATTTATACAGTAATGTAACGTTAAGTCAACGGCGTTCATAAACACGCTAAAAAGCGATTATGCGTGTCGATAGCACGCCAAAAAATGGAAATACGAATTGCCATGTCATACATACGCCATTTCACGAGATCAGTCCGGATATATCCACGCTACGAAAGATTGCAAGATTGGGTCGTGTTTCTGTAGTCCGAATGAGACATAAGAAAACCACAAATTTGACTTGCTTTACGGCAAGCGTTACAATTGCCGATAGGTGGAGCATACTCGACAGTAGACTACAACTACATGTAAGATACCTAGTCGCTAGGTCGCTTTTGAATTGTGATACCAAAGCCGGCGCCGGATAAACAGAGAGCATGTGCGTGTGCGACAGTAGGATACGCTAGGCTAAATTATTTATGACAGCAGTAATGGACAATTCCGCTTCCAACCTGTAGGGCGACCACAGTCACTTAGTGTTGCTTTAAAGGGAATGGGAGATGAGACTATGATTGGTTAATTGCACGTAAAGCCCAAAACACAGGCATTGCTCATTAAGAGAATAGAGACGACCCCTTTAGGCCTTGCGCCGGGAGCACCGACCATTTGTCCAGTGGATTCAGACACCATATAGGTGCACTTAGCTTTAGACCATGCACTTAGATCCTTACAATAGGGTCTTAGGGTCACACTAGATATAGATGAGCTCAAAGCCAACAGATATGGATTAAAAGCCAGTAAACGTGACTCATGGGGTCTGTAGTGGACAGATGTCCTCACCAGGCCTCCGTTGGAGGTGTTTGCGGAGGGAATCTCTTGAACGGATCCGTTCTGCAAACCGAAATCAGACGTCCCAACGTCTTGATGACCGATGAGACTATCATTATTGCTCTTCTGATTGGACTGAACTTCATTCTGCGGGTCGAACAGAGGATCGAACGCCTTGATGTCAGAGACGTCGGGTCCTGCGGTGGACGAAGGCGTCTTGAAAATATCATCGAACACTGGATCGGCGTTAGAGAAGAAACTCTCTGTTTTAGTGGACGTTTCTTGGAAAACATCGGCTGAATCGAACGGCGATGTGAAGGAAGGAGTGGCTTCGGATTTTTTCTGTCTGGAGAGGATGAAGTCCAGCAGCGGATCCCTCTGATTGGCTGAAGACGAGGATTCTGCGTTCTGATTGGTTGAGCTGCTTTGTGTCAGATCAGTGTCCACCTTGTCTTTGAAAGGCTGGAAAATGTCTGTTTCTTCACCCCAGATGCCCGACGTCGTTTGAAACACATCAGGTGTGTTGTCTGAATAAAAATCAGGTGGAGGAAACACAACCCAGTCTGGAGCCGCGAAAGGATCGCTGTTCACAAAGTCCGAAAACAGAGGCGAATGATGAATGCCGTTTGGTAAGACTTCCTCGTCAACCGTTTTCATGGCGTATTCCTGCAAACACAAGCGTATTCAACAGAACATTTGAGGATTCAATGCCACACACCATTTTAATCAATTGTGTCGATGATACGCAAGGAAACAAATGCAACTAAAATGTTTGGGGTTTCTTAAAGAGGTCTCTTCTGCTCACCAAGGCTGCATTGATTTGATCAAAAATACAGTAAAAACAGTAAAATTGTGAAATATTATTACAATTTAAAACTGCTCTTTTTTATGGTGAATATATGTTAACATGTAATTTTTTTCCTGTGATCAAAGCTGAATTTCCAGCGTCATTCATGTCTCCTTCAGAAATCACTAGTAATATGAAGATCTGATGCTCAAGAAACATTTAAGATTATTATCAGTGTTGAAAACAATTGTGATGCTTCACATTTATGGGGAAACCGTGATATATTTGATTGTTTTTGCATCTTATATAAAAAACGGAATTTATTTGAGATAGAAATCTAATGAATCAATTTAATGCACCCTTCCTGAATAAAAGGGTTCATTCTGTTCCTAGACTATTGAAGGGTAATGTGTGTGTGAGATCGTCACTGATACCTGTGGGTTTGAACAGAAAGGATTCATGGAGCTGTTGATCACATTCTAGTGGAGAGAAAATCAGAATTAAAGAGTTTAGATTGGATAAAAACAATAAAAAACACAAACGTGGGCTCTCCTTCATACATTACACACTTTATCAGCATCAGTGGTTTCATGATGAACCTTTAACGTCCATGCAAGCTTTCCCTTCCACTAAAGGTTCTTTAGTTTAGATTATTAAAATGTTCAGAATAAAATAGTTATTTTAAGAACTGTTCATTGAGAGGTTATTTGGGGGCTAAAATAATTATTCGATGGCATTATTGCCACAAAAAAAAATAATAATAATAAAAAATTTTTAAGAGAATGATCCTCAACTGTGGAGACTGATTGTCTTGAGCTGTGCGTCTACTGGCTGGCCTCTGATATACTAATAATTTTTAAAATAAGATGTTAGATTCTCACCTCCATTATCAGACCTGATGCACCAAACACTGAATCAGAATCCCGTGACACACAATAAAGAGGTTAAATAAGTTCAGATCACTGTATTTGTTTATTCCATACGTTTTTTTTTAAACAACAACAACAACAAATAAAGACATGCGAACTACCCCAGCCAACAAACATAAGAACTTGTTTTACTAATGTATGAACATTTCCGAATGTTTTCTTAATTGTCACCATCCCGTTTTTAAACGTGTTTCTTCCTCGTTCGAACGTTAAGGGAACATTCCATTATCATTACTCATACATTATGGGAACGTTATTTTTAAAAGTTATCTGGACGTTCTGAAACAAGTAACAGTTCAACGAAGTTCAACGAAAAAAAAAAAAGAAAGAAAACACAACAACGTTTCATAAACATTGTTAAATAACGTTTGTGCTGACGTTTTGATAACATCATTATAGACCAGATACTTTTAACGAACGTTCTATTAACGCTTTTGTTTGTTCATAATTTTTCAGAACGTTCTGAAAATGTTCCCTGATGACATCGGTCTGATCGCTTGATCATGAGTTGCAAAATCAGTTGCATTACTACAGGAACCCAAAATATACTACAGGAACCCAAAATATGCGACGACTGACTTGCACAAAACTGGCATGCACACTTACGTTTAGTTTAATGACATTCGAAAACATGCCATGAATGAGATTAATTTCACTCAGATTCAATATAAACAAAAATCAGTCCAGTATTACAGCATTTCTACACTGAAGAATTATATAATCTAAAATAACCGGCATTTAAGTAAAAAATTGCGGACAGTTTGATGTTGCTGCATCAACCGAAATACACCAATTTAAACAAGTTAAATTAATTGTATCGGTCAAGTAAAGCATAGCCTATCAGCATCAACAGTATAATAGCGAACGCAACTTTCTTTCGAGTATTACTGTGTTTAGTAGTAGATGTTAAACACGCGCGTGTGTTGTTCTTTACCGCGTCACATGTGCAGTTCACTTTTTATCGTTGCAAGTTTGATATTTTAATAATAAAAAAAAAAACTTACCATGTAGCCAGTGAGGTTTCCAGACAGGCTTACCTGTGGACAAACTAAACTAAAGCACTTACCAAACTCGTTATGTAAAAATAATTGACGAAACGCAACAGGTGAAGCTCGCGCGTCTTTCAACACTCACCTGAGAAAACTGTGCAGACCTGCCTGTCCTGTATTACAGCTGAAACTCACTGATCTCAGACCTGCCTCAGTGTAACAGTTGAAACACACTGATCTCAGACCTGCCTGTCCTGTTGAGGATCTCAGAAGTCATATTTACAGTTGAAACACTGATCTCAGACCTGCCTATCCTGTATTACACCTGAAACACACTGAATTTAGACCTGCCTCTCAGTATAACAGCTGAAACACACTGATCTCAGACCTGCTGTCTTGTTGAGATTCTGAGAAGTCATCAGACTAAACTCAACCCTGCCTGTATTGTCTCAGCATTACAGCTGAAACACACAAAACTCAACCAGTCGCCCGGGGCGTCATTTCTTCATGTAACATGGGGGCGGCACGAGCAGTTAAAAAAATCCTCTGTGCAAAGGTTTTCTTTTTTTTTTTTCTTTTTTTTTTTATCATTTCGATTCAATTATTGGAAATGGCACCCCTGCTTGCTGAGATGGTGCCGTTAGAAGCGATGCCAAGGGGGTCTCCTGACTTAGTTCACGTATCGCGTCCTTTTGCGCGCTCGACGTTGTTATTTCAAATATGCGCACGGGACGCGCGCTCATTTTTTTCCAGGAGCATGGGAGTGCACGTGCACCCAAACACGTGGGTGTTTTTCTCTTCTCCGAAAATAAATCTTTTAGCAGAGCAACAGCAAGCGTTTTTATGTGGTATAGCACCAAAGGGTACAGTTCCCGTACGACGACGTAATTCACTGCTTCACTACCATAGTTAAAGGGTTAGTTCACCCAAAAATGAAAATTAAGTCATTAATTACTCACCCCCATGCTGTACCAACCCTGTAAGACCTTCGTTCGTCTTCAGAACACAAATGAAGATATTTTTGATTAAATTTGAGAGCTGTATAACTACCACATTGGCTCCTAAGGGACTGCCTCTTGACGGCCCAGAAAGTCAATGAAGAAAATGTTTAAATATCCCAAGTGACTACCGTGGCTCAACTTTATGTTTATCAAGCGACGCGAATACTTTTTGTGCGAAAAAACAAACAAAAATAACGAGTTTATTCGACTATTTCTTTTCTTCCTTGTAGGCCAGAACGAGACTTCCTTAGATTTCCACGACGCATGCGCGAGAATTGCGATCTGAAGTAGTGTAAGCTGGTGTAAGCAGATCGCAATTCTCGCGCATGCGTCGTGGAAATCTAAGGAAGTCTCGTTCTGGCCTACAAGGAAGAAAAGAAATAGTCGAATAAACTTGTTATTTTTGTTTGTTTTTTTGCACAAAAAGTATTCGCGTCGCTTGATAAACATATAGTTGAGCCACGGTAGTCACTTGGGATATTTAAACATTTTCTTCATTGACTTTTTGGGCCGTCAAGAGGCAGTCCCTTTAGGAGCCAATGTGGTAGTTATACAGCTCTCAAATTTAATCAAAAATATCTTCATTTGTGTTCCGAAGACGAACGAAGGTCTTACGGGGTTGGTACAGCATGGGGGTGAGTAATTAATGACTTAATTTCCATTTTTGGGTGAACTAACCCTTTAAATGCATCGTTGGAAAATCAAGTAGCTAGTCACGACTGTTTTCCGAAACCCATAGTCGCAAAGTATCGTTCAACCATGTTGGTTTCGCTTTCGCACGTGGTGGAGTAATAACTAGCCTACTTTTAATGAAACTGTTTGAGATCCAATTAACGCTAGATTTGTTTTATATAAATTACAGACATGTCATCTGAGGACTATTAATTGTTCTCAGTTGTTTTGCTTTATTACCAGACTCAATTGGCTCGTTCTTACATAGCACAGCACATGCGCACTTTTCAAAATCGGTACTTTAAATCTTTTGACAAACTAAAAGACGTAAATTACATTTGTATGTATTCTAAATAAAAGTCTTTATTTATTAGATACTAGTGTTTATTCCAAATGCTATAGTAAGAATTTTAATTTTACTAGTAAGATTTTTAATTGAACTCTGAAGTGGCCGTTCTGAGGTGCGTTTCCCGAAAGCATCGTTAGCCAACTATGGTTGCAAGTTTCGTCGTTATCAGCATAGTTCAACGAGTCGGTGTTTCCCGAAACCATCGTTCCAACGAACATTCGCAAACAGCATCGCAGAGTTGTGTGGTTTGAACGACAGCTCTCGACCTGTGGTTAGAGGCATCGTTTCTATATTGCATTACATTTGGACGTAATAAATCCTTATCTTCATTCTACATTCAGTACAACCGGTGCCTTTTATTTAGAATACATAGAAATGTAATTGACGTCTTTTATGCCGAGTTCAGACTGCATGATTTTCAAAGTAGTCGGGTCGCTGTTCTTTTCACACCGATGTTTTCAGTCAAAACACTTTTCACACAGCAGGATTTTGAATCGCCGACAGGTCCAGATATTTAGCATGCCAAATATCTCACGGGCGTCGGCGACTCGTCGGTGATTCTCCCAGTTCGCGTCTTTGCTCATTCTCACACTGCGTGATTGTCACTCGCGTGAACGAGCACCGATTTGCCACGTGATTTCGGGCATTTGTCGGTGATTTCTCAAAACCTGTCGGCGAGCCAAAATCGTGGCTAAAATCATGCAGTCTGAACTCGGCATTAGTTTGTCAAAAGAATTAAAGTAACGTGTTTGAAGAGTGCACATGTGCGAACGTGCTAGAAGAAGGAGCCAAATATTGAGTCTGGTAATAAAGCAAAATAACTGAGAACAATTAGAAATAGTCCTCAGATTACATGTTTGTAATTTGTATTAAAAAAATCTAGCGTTAATTGGATCTCAAACAGTTTCATTAAAGGTAGTTATTACTCCCCAGACAGCAAACTGACATTGAATCAACGTGGAAACGACGTCTCTCATGACATTGAAACAACGTTGATTTTGCTCATCGAATTAACGTTGAACCAACGTCAGACGCGGAATTCTTCAAAGCTAAATGAAAATCGAAAATTGGTTTGCTTTCATAACGTTGAAACAACACGTTGATTTTCCGTTAGTTTTGAAAGAATGACGCGTCTGACGTTGGTTCAACGTTAATTCGATGAGCAAAACTATGTCAGATCAACGTTGTTTCTATGTCATATTTCCACGTTGATTCAATGTCAGTTTGCTATCTGGGTCCAGAATCCAGCACGTGTGAAACCAACATGGTTGAACGATACTTTGCGACAGTGGGTTTCGGGAAACAGCCGTGACTAGCTGATTCTCCAACGATGGTAGTGAAACAGCTAACTACGTCGTTGTACGGGAAACACACCCCAGATAGCAAACTAACATTGAATCAACGTGGAAATATGACATCGAAACAACGTTGATCTGACATTGTTTTGCTCATCGAATTAACGTTGAACCAACGTCAGACGCGTCATTCTTTCAAAACTAACGGAAAATCAACTTGAAATCAACGCGTTGTTTCAACGTTATGAAAGCAAACCAAT